ATTTTTGGGGTTCTTTAATATGCTGAATCTAACCGTGTATTTAGTTTTTGGATTTTGGGCCCCGTTTTTAAATTGGTCCACATTGAGGTCCAAAGGGTCCAAAATTAAACTTTGTTTGATTTCATCAAAAATTGAATTATTGGGGTTCTTTGATATGCCGAATCTAACCGTGTATTTAGATTCTTAATTTTTGGTTCCTTTTCAAATTGGTCTACATTAATGTCCAAAGGGTCCAAAATTAAACTTAGTTTGATTTTAACAAAAATTGAATTCTTAGGGTTCTTTGATATGCTGAATCTAAACATGTATTTAGATTTTTGATTATGGGCCCAGTTTTCAAGTTGGTCCAAATCGGGGTCCAAAATTAAACTTTGTTTGATTTCAACAAAAATTGAATAAATGGGGTTCTTTGATATGCTGAATCTAACCATGTATTTAGATTTTTGATTTTTGGGCCCCGTTATCAACTTTGTCCACATTGAGGTCAAAAGGGTCCAAAATTAAACTTTGTTTGATTTCATCAAAAATTGAATTCTTGGGGTTCTTTGATATGCTGAATCTAACCATGTATTTAGATTTTGGATATTGGACCATAATAGGTGAATGTCCAATTTAAAATTTTTAAGTTCTTAGACCACATTCATTCTGTGTCAGAAACCTATGCTGTGTCAAATATTTAATCACAATCCAAATGCAAAGCTGTATCAAGCTTGAATGTTGTATCCATACTTCCCCCAACTGTTCAGGGTTCGACCTCTGCGGTCGTATCAAGCTGCGCCCTGCGGAGCATTTTATTATTTATGAAAATAAAAATATTTTACAAAACATCTAAAAATTTATCAGGTTTTTGAATAAAAAAAGGGTGCGAACGGACCTAGGGGGCGAACGTTTGGGGTGCGAACGTGTAGGGTGCGAACGTGTATTGGGCGCGAACGGACCCGATACCCCAGAATTTTCACATGTACCTTTTCTGATATATAGTCTTACATGTCTGAAAGTTTAAAAGCCATTGTCCCAGTAGAAATCCAACTGATATTCATTTTCTCAATGTCAGATATTTTAATTGACTGTACAATCACTTGCAACTTTACTGTACATTCACTTGGGCCTTTCCTGTACAATCGCTTGGCCAACTTTATAAAATACATTGGATATGCATTTCATTGTTTGTTCCTTGTCTGTCCTATTATATTCATCTATGGTATTTGAAATAAAAATGAACACATATTCAGTCATTTTGCCGATTGAGATTCTATCAAGGGCACCTTTTTAAGGTATGCCTAGAGTGTCTATATCAGAGACAAAATCAAAATTAGAACAATAAGTAAACAAGACAAAATAAAAAGGACAATAGTGAATACACATGTAAAGAAATCACTAATAAGAAAAATAATGCTCGTACAAAACAAACAACCGAAAAGGTGAATAGGTGCTCCGGAAGGGTAGAAATATTTTGAAGTTTACTTAATTTATTATTAAACAACAGTTTAAAAGAATAATATGTACATATATAAACAATACAACAAAGAATGTTTCATCAGAAAACCAGGATATTCTAACTTGATAAGGCATTCCAATGAGGAATGGTGCAAGCTATACACGAAACCAAGAAAAGATGTCAACAAACATGATATATCTGTTTATTACTAGCTATAGGTACTGGTGGTACAAAACTCGCATAAAAATAAATTGTATCAAGGATCAGCATGATCAGGGTGTGAGTTGTTTTTCTGAACATGCTGAAAGACAGAGAAAACACAAAATCCTTAAATTTCATGAAATTTTTTATAATAATAAGCGGTATCACCTTCTAGGAACTTTTCAATATTTTTAACTATAACATTAACATCCCACGAATGAACGACACACAGTTTTTTAGTAAGAACAACATTTTATCAAAGCTCATTTCTACAAAATGTATATTCAATATAAAAATAAGGAGATGTGGTATGAATTGCCAATGAAACAACTATCCACCAAAGTTCAAATGAAGTGGATGTAAGCAATTATAAGCAACCATACTGTATAGTCGGCTTTAAAAGGCCTCTACATGAAAAATATGAAACAATTAAATTGCGAAAACTAACAGCCTAATTTATAACAAAACAATTTACAAAAAAACAAAAATGACAGATATGAACCAACGACAACCACTGAACTACAGGCTCCTGACTTGGGACAGGCACATGAAGAATGTGGCAGAGTGAAACATGTTTGTGTGCGCTCAACCCTCCCCAAACCCTACACTGGGGTTACAGCACAACATAAGACCAAACTATAAAAATTTCGTAAGGGTTCCGCAGAACCCAGTGTCTCGCCTACTTTTGCTGTTAGTCTCAGGCTCAACAAAAATGGGGAAATAATTATTAAAAATTTTCCTCTAGATACTATCTTTTGAATGTAAGAAGCTTCTGTTCAAGTTTGGTAAGAATCCAGGATGGTTTATGAATCTAATTAATGTTTTAAAAACTTTAACTGCAGACTATATGAAATGTTAACTGGAAGAAAAACTAAGTCCATTTATAAGTAATATACGGAAAAACAGCAAATTTTTTTCACAAAATTTCCTTCTAGATACTAGCTTTTGATCATAAACAAGCTTCTGTCCAAGTTTGGTACAAATCCAGGATAGTTTAAGAAAGTTATTAAAATTTTGAAAACTTTAACCACAGAGTGAATATTTGTGGACGCCGTCAACGATGCTGACGCCGATGGAATGTAGGATCGCTATGTCTCAATTTTGCGACAAAAGTTGCAGGCTCAACAAAAATCAGTAGAATAATCAGCTAGTTCATCATGTAATACTATCACGGATGATATCATACCAGGCGCAGATCCAGCCATTCTAAAAAGGGGGTTCCAACCCCCAGAACACCATGAAACGTTCATATAATTATAAACAAATCGAAAAAGGTGGGGTTTCAACCACCAGAACGCCCCCTCCCCCAACCCTGATCCGCTAATTCAGACTGCATCCATATATATAATTAGAAATAAACCTTCCAGCATCTCTAACACTTTCGAATGTGCAATTGAGGTTTAAAATTTTTTTTATAACAAGACCAAATTACTGTTATTGAATCATACATGTAACTATTCACAAACACTAGAAACTGTTCTGTTCCATTAAAATATCAAATCACTTTTTGGCCTATAATGACTTCCTCTTTATCTCGGATTTGATAGGTACAGCCTTAAAACACATATCCTGGTGACATTTTTTTAACCATTTGAATTGCAGTCATTTCCTTTTTTCTTTTGACAGGGAGGCGGATTAATATAAGAAAAATATTGTTTCCGAATCTCTTTGTGTATAACTGCAATCATATTTTGTGTTTCATGTCTTTCAAATAAAATATGTTTTTAACTAAAAGCTATATCACGAAAATAAGATGATTCAAAATAATTTTAATGACATATGTGTCATTAATTTAACCTGCAATTGAAAATATCAGTGGTGAGCCAGTTTTTATTTATAATATTCTTAATCATTGAATTACGAGTCAAACAAATCAAGCCAACTAAGATAATTTCTACATCCTTTCAATTTTTGTTTACCAAACTTTTGAAGTTGGCCAAGCGATTGTACAGGAAAGGTCCAAGTTATTGTACAATAAACTCACAAGCAATTGTACAGTCAATTAAAATATCCGACATTGAGATAAGGAATATATTTGGATTTCTACTGGGACAATGGCTTTTAAACTTTCAGACAGGTAAGACTATATATCAGAAAAGGTACATGTGAAACTTCTGGTAGCAACGATTGATTTTTCAATATTTTTTTGACATTTTTTATTGCTGTTGTGTGACAGTTTTGATCGATTTACTTGGAGCTCTACCATTCTAAAGAAAACATTTGGATGCATATATCGTTTTTATTATTTGATTGGTTCACATAATTTACATATAGAATATTTTGATTACCAAATCTTGAAGCGGAAACGTTATATAGTAACATTTGGGTTCATCAAACTTTCCATCTAGCGACTTGTTATTTAACGAATGTTGAAGCCCAGCTTGATTATTTGATTGGTTCACATAATTTACATATAGAATGTTTTGATTACCAAATCTTGAAGTGGAAACGTTATATAGTAACATTTGGGTTCATCAAACTTTCCATCTAGCGACTTGTTATTTTATCGAATGTCGGAGCCCCGCTTGACAGTCTCAAAAAAAAAATTAAAAACCTGTACAGTTCTGTTCCCACACTGTGATTTAGACATGAACAAGAAAATGTTTTAGACATACAGTTTTGAGTACAAGAACAAAAAAGCCAATCAATCACAATTACATAAAATCATTCGTTAGAACATGATTCTTTGGCAAAGTTCCTTCTCACTCAGTGTCACTGTTAGACTGTCTGACTAACTGAATTTAAATTGTATGAACAAATTTAAACATGTTAAAAAATATTGTTTCAAAGGTCTTTGAATCCTAAAAAAAAAAGAAGCTTAAAGCATGGTACCATATGGGTTTATGTGCTTACATATTCTGGTGTAAATGCATTATTTCATGAAACAGTGATTTTGCCAACTCTCGCCATTTATGATGCAATTTTCAATATGATAAAATCTACTGCACACAGATGTAAACATGGTAAAGTAACTGTGCAAGGCCTTCAAAAATTGCTCCCCGGTGGCTTGTTAAACAGCAGTGTTTGGAAGATAAGAAACGAATGAGATTTTCATTTTTCATGAAATTATACATATTAATGAATAGTAAAGACAACTATTAATGCAACCAACTTCAAAATTCATTTGCCTGAAAGTGCAAAATCTTAAAATGCTTTTAACTTTTGGAAACAACATGTACAGACAAAGCATGTTTGGCTTAGAAGAGTTATGAATTTTTCAAAATTTTGTATTCCATTACAAACTCCAACAAAAATTACAGTATTTGAACATTTTCTGCATGGTGTAAAATAATGTTAAATTTTTAGGAGTTTTTACTTCTTTAAGATTAGCTTATAATATTGTATCAACATCTTTTTCTAGAGATACAGGAAGAGAGATCCAGATGAACATGAACAGTTAGTAAAGAAAGCACATGAGAAGACGATGGATGGAGGTACATGATTTCTCTAAAGCATGTTCTCATTTGGCAAATAACACTTTTTGCATATAAATGATGGCTGAAAGAGTAGTTGTGTTCATTTCAGGGAAAGAACAACTTTGCCTCCAATGATATTTTGTTTTTTGTTAAAGTTTTAGTCCCCAATACATTTTGTACAATATGAAAATAAGGAGTTGGGGCCAAATTTCCAATGAAACAACTATCCATATACACAGGACAAAGATGTGAACAATTACAAGTCCCCAAACAATTAGCAAGACTCGTACAGTATAGAAAGCTATAAAAGATCCCAGTATGACAAAATATAAAACAATTAACAAGACTCTTACAGTATAGAAAGCTATAAAAGGTCCCAGTATGACAAAATGTCAAACAATTAGCAAGACTCGTACAGTATAGAAAGCTATAAAAGGTCCCAGTATGACAAAATGTAAAACAATTAGCAAGACTCATACAGTATAGAAAGCTATAAAAGGTCCCAGTATGACAAAATGTCAAACAATTAGCAAGACTCGTACAGTATAGAAAGCTATAAAAGGTCCCAGTATGACAAAATATAAAACAATTAGCAAGACTTGTACAGTATAGAAAGCTATAAAAGGTCCCAGTATGCCAAAATATAAAACAATTAGCAAGACTTGTACAGTATAGAAAGCTATAAAAGGTCCCAGTATGACAAAATGTCAAACAATTAGCAAGACTCGTACAGTATAGAAACCTATAAAAGGTCCCAGTATGACAAAATGTAAAACGATTAAAAATGCTATAACTGTTTTCATTTATCAGGACTGTGTTTTTCTCTTTTTAATTGTTTCACATTTTGACATCCTGGTGCATTATATAGCTTACTCTATGTGTTTGCTTATTGTTTAAAGCCATATGATGACTTGCAGTTTAGATCTTTATCTTAACATATATTTATATTTAAGGTTTAATAACTGTGTACCGCCATCTTGGATTGTAGAATAGTAGTTCTCAGTAGGTCTAGTTCTTTACTTAAATCTACAAACTTTGAGACAGATTGGCGATTAATGGGTTAGACTGTTTATTGGAATAAAGAAGAAAAAGTAAAAAGTGATTTATTGCATTATTGAGACTGATTTGCCAAATTACAAATATTTGTATTTGTTCGGATCAAATTGTCAACTTAGCCATGTACGGGGAGATAACTCAAATAGTAAAATTTGTATTAAGGAATGAAAGAGAAATTTTCAATTTTTACTTGTAGCAAGAAAACAAGGTCGGTGACACTATTTTTTTCTTTTTATTTGTTATTGTTCTTAAAGCATATTTTAAAACCTATCTTCTCATATTTTATTTTAAAATTCTATCTCATAGATTTCTTATATTCACAAAAAAGTGTTTTTTTCATTAACAATCTATGTAAATTTAGGCAATTTTGCATGACTTGTAGCTTGATAAATAACAAGGTGACCCATACTTTTTGTTTTAATTTAAAAAAAGCATGGAAAAATCTACATTCTGGCAAAGTATAAGAAAATTATATCTGAGGAAATATACAGTAATGATCCACCTTAAGAACTTATGATTTTGATTTTTGTTTAGATTTTGATTATTTTACTGCCATATTGATACTGGTCCAGATATATGCATTTTTTGTACACTTGTCAACAAAACTGATAGTACACATGTTTTAGAAGAAATCAAAAAAAAAAATGAGGAAAAGTATATTTAATATGAAAATGAACATTGATAACATATTTAGATTAATATTCAAACCAAAATCAGTTTATATTTACATAATATTGTTAGAAAAAAATTCTTAAAATTATATTTCTGCTAATGATTAAGTTCAAAGAATTATGAAGGATTAATTATATTTGAAATATTGAACTATTTCAGTTTTTCTAAATTTTGGTTTAAACATGTTAAATGAAAATATTCCATAAAAATACACCATATACTGTAAATTATATGTAATATGCCCTGCTGTTGTAATCAATTTTATTGTTTAGTAATACATGTATATCAATAATCAAAATATTTAGTTGTTTTCTTTAATTACAGCTGTTGAAATAGTTTTATGGTTGAGAGATCGTAAAGGCATACATGTAAATTTAGAAGATGGTCATCAGGCAGAAGCAGCAGATTTATTTGAAATTGTTTTAGAACAAAGAGGGCTTCCACCAGAGAGTGAAAACGTTTTCTCCGTATGGCTGGTATCTCCCATTTTAGGTACTAAAAATCTTTAACTCAAAAGAGTTTTCAAATGACACCAGGCTGACTGTCATCTTGTAAAGGGTTGTCACAAAGTGAAATGAGATTTATTTGTAACAGAATGTCCATAAAAAATGTTGGATGTTTAGTTATTTAGATACTGATTGTCAAGTGAAATTTTGTTTAGACATATAAATTATATTTGTTCATTTGACCAAATGTGTAGTGAACCATTCAGCACATTGGAGAACTTTGTCAGCTGTTTATTCTTATGACTTAATTTAATTTCTGTAATATCCTGAAAATATATACCGGTATCTAATATGACATAAATGATATACATTTGTACAGGGTAATGTCCTTGAAACAGCAATCCTCAAACAAAAAGTTATAAAGTTTAAGATAGAACAATATGAATTAAGAATATTTTTGCAACAACTGTGTGTGTTAAGGGCATACAATACAGTTACAGGGGAGGTAATGACGTTGCTAAAGTAAAATGTTATTTTCGCGACATCAAACTGTGACATATTGGGAAAAGATGCATTTTTTGACTGATTTTTATCATTCAGATTGATTTAACTTGAAAATGAGTTCATAGAACCCTCTTTTTTAAAATGACATTACGTATGAAGATTATTTGTACCAATTTTTATGAAAAAGTCACTGATTTTTTTAAATTAGATAAATATACAACAAAAAATGCCGTTATTTTTCTAAAATCATGAATCTTTGATAAAAATTTATTATTTCCAAAGTATTGTTATTCAAATTTAGAGCATACATATGTAAAGAAGATTTTCCAAACGTTTTTACAAAAATCCGCTTTTATTTATCTGTTGAAACAAAAAAGTTGGGTATGTCTATCCAAAGGATATAAATGTCAAAAGAACCGAAATTTTGAATAAATGTCTAATATTTTGACCCCATTTATCTCTAGAAGTAGCACATGAAGATATATTTTTTATTCCGACGTCGTAGCAGAGGGGGCATTAAGTTTTATCCTTGTCCGTCTGTACGTACGTCCGTCTGTACGTCCCAAAATTGGTTTCCGTTCTCTTACTTGAGTTTGCCTCAACCAAATGTTATGAAACTTATACACAATGCTTATTATCACAAAACACAGATCAAGTTTGAATTTTGGTGGCGTCACTTTAACCGTTCTAGAGTTATGCTCCTTTATAAATGGAAAAATTGCAAAATTTTTATTTTCTTCTAAATATCAAGTTATTTTTAAAATTGGAGTTATCTTCCTTTGTCCATGATTATAGTTGAATCAACTACAATCAATGCTCTATACAATGCAATGTTTAATTTTGACTTCCACTGATAAAACACAGATCAAGTTGAATTTGGGTAGTGTCACTTTAACCATTATTGAGTTTTGCCCCTTTATAAATCGAAAGATTGTAAAATTTTTAGTTTCCATTCTGTAACTTAAGTTTGCCCCAACCAAACATTATGAAACCTATACACAATATTCATTACCACAAAACTAAGTAAGATCAAGTACAATTTTTTTGTTTCCGTTTTCTAACTTTAGTTTGCCTCAACCAAATGTTATGAAACTTATACACAATGCTTATTACTACATAATACAGATTAAGTACGAAATTTGGTGGTGACCCTTTTACCATTCTTGAGTTATGTCCCTTTATAAACATAAAAATTGCTGAAACTGTTCTAGAGTTATGTGTGTTTACAAATAGAAAAATTGCTGAATTTTTAGTTTCTGTTCTCTTCTTAAGTTAGCCTCAACCAAATGTTATGAGACTTACACACAATGCTTATTACCACAAAACTCAGATCAAGTTCAAATTTGGGTAGCATCACTTTTACTGTTCTTCAGTTATGCCCCTTTATAACTATATGATATGCAAGCGGCGGCATCATCTGTGTCCACATGTGGACACTATCCACATTTATTTATTACTTATTTGAATTGACTAGGTGGAAAATAGCTTGTATGCAAATTTTTGTAAAAAAATCATCGTGGGATCAAAACTGTATTGTATGCCCTTAATAACTACAAGTTTACAATTGCTCAGATCATTCTAGGTTAACTTCTACATGTATTATCTGAAAATCTCAAGGAAGCTTTTGTCATACAACCAAACATTGTGTACATATTATTCTCTTCAATTTTTCAGAACTAAGATTAAAGAATCACCACAAACCATTCCAGTTAGCCCAGTTATGGGATGATTTCTGTGCTATGTATACAGATTCTTGTGCTGATGAAATTACACGAGGTAAGATGCAAGTCTGGAATAATTATTTCAATTCATAAACTACCCATATCCACATTCTTATTCGAGATGTAATTACTGTAATAGGCAATTAAAGGTCAAAATGGAAAGATATTTAAGACAATCACTACCATTGATTGAGGCATGTATTAGTAATTAGAAAATTCTGGTCTGACAGAGAAGGTTTATTTTAAAAATTCTGGACATGAAATCTGACAAAGCGGCAAATTATAAACAAACAATTTAAGAAAATTTGATATCTATGAGTTGATAGGGATTTTTGTGGCTTTATGTGTACATTTGATGGCAACTTTAAAATACAATAAAACCAGTAATGACATTAAAAGGGCATCATATGGACTTTATCCATATACAAGTGCCTATACTATATGTGAAGTCATCCCAAATTTTGACAAGTAACAGAATTTAGCAGACTACCAAAGGTTGCTGTTGACACCAAGTTCTTTAAATTACCCTGCCCCCAAAAACACTTTAAATAACTAATTAGTATCTTGGTGTCATGCAACAGGCACATTAACCTGTGACAGGGGTCAAACTAGTTTTTAAAGTTCTTGATACCCCACCCTGTATATACACAATAGACAATAAAAAAAAACTTTGTAAAACTAACCAACTCCAATATTGAAAGCAAGCTTATAATTTCATCATTAGATTTTTGTAGAGACTATAGTACATCTTTACTCCTTTCAGATGAACCAGTTGTAATGTTTCAGAGAAATGTCTTCCTTACTTTAGAAGAGGAAATGAAGGTTTGTATTTCTACAGAAAAATAACTACTTTAAACAATATATTTAAAACAGGTCCTTCTAGCCATGCTGTGGAGATTTTTTTTACCAAAACATTCATTTTAAGTTATATTGATGTGTACAGTACTTGCAACTTTACTTTTTCTTTGTTTATGTTGAAATTAAGATCCTAACAATATTGTTAATGAAGAATATGTTTTTCAATCACCTGGATTGTCCAAGAAACAAACATTTGGAGAACATCCACTTTACACTTAAGAACAAAAGGCAAAATGTGCAGTATGCTTTAGACAGTTGCCCAAGAAAGTCAGCAAGCTTTCATGTTTGCGATCCCATATTTGTTTCAATAGCCCTTCACTGCAATATTATTGATTCAGAGAGGGGATATTTTCCCACATTTTATGAGATTACGAAAAACGAAAATAACACCTGTGTGAAAATTTCCACTTTTACAGTATTTTGCAGAAAGGGAAGCATGGTATTTGTGACATCTAACATAATATCATAACATGGTCCGTCTCATATGTATCTGTTTTATACTGTAAATTCAGAAATTATTGCGAGGTTTTAATTCATGCAAATATTTCGACTGGGTGAGTATCGCAATAATAAGAACTCGAATTCTGATATCTGATACATATATCTATATGCAGATTTTCCTGAAATTGCAAAAATTAAACTCGCAATAATAAATGCACGCAATAATTTCTGAATTTACAGTATACAACTAGTTTCTTTTCACCTTTACACATATGTACATGTATATATCCCAAATTTTCTATGTTGCTCTGTTTGTTTCCCTGATCCAAAATAGATGTATATTGTGGAAAGTTCCTTTTATAACAAATGTGAAAATTTACCCCAAATTGTCCATGTGGCTCATTTTCTGTCTGATTCCAATGTAAATGTACAAGCGAGACACAAGGTTCCACAGAACTTTTTGTTTTTTAGCATATGATGCATTATCCATACCAACACATAATAACATATAAACTTTCGTTGTAACATAATGTATTACTCACTGACTTTCATTGAAGGCTATAAGAGGTTATGGCGAGTATAAGGTAACTGTTCTCGTACTAATCATACACATACTTTTATTACTGATGCTTTGTAGAGCACATCATAATAACAATGCAGTTTTTGCATTTTTTGATGTGCGTCATATTAAGTTTTTTAGATGTGAAAAACAACTCTTAAAGTATAGTAGAAGCAGAATATTTTTTGTGGATAAAAATATTGACAAAAAATAAAGTTAAAACCACAGAAAAGCAATTCCAGATTTTTAATCCTGAAATTTGGTATCACGCTTTATGTGATTGCGTTTTTCTGCACAAAAGGGCTACCTAAAAGTTTTCAGGCTTCATGTGATCATGCATTTTTATACTTATTGCTTTTCAAATTCCTGTTTATCGAATACAAAAGGGTATCATTAGTGAGCACTAGCTTACGTTTGTATTCGTTTTCTAAAGAATAACTGGTGAAATATAAGATAGGAGAAATAAATGAATAAACATGTTTTATAACAAGATGTACAGTATGAAATACTGCATAGAACAATTCATTGTTTCTACTTAGTTATGAACATTTAGAGTGATGTATTTACTAACATGCTTTACAGTATACATATAAACAATGAATTCCACAAACTTTAAAAGTATAGTGTTTGATTTAGTTTCAATGGGTTTTGATACAAATATTTTTAGATTCATATTCCCACCTGTCCTTATAATTACCAGCCACCCTAAGATTTAATATTTTTAATTCACATAGTTGTCATTGAAAAGAAAAACGTTATCTGTTAACAGAAAGTTGTATCCTTGAAACTTAAATATAACATTGCCTGCTGCTTGCAATAATAGCAAATAATCAGCTTAAACCACTAATGAAACCACATAATAACTTGCTTAAGACACATGATTTGATTAAAATAATACAGTTTTCTTACATGTCACAGCAAGTCCAGTAATATTATTTGTGTTGTCATAAAAATTGTTGTTTTTGACACATTTGACCAAACTGCCATTTTACATAAAGTATCGGTAAAATTAAAAATAAACAATAATCTTCCCCAAAAAATTATGTGATACCAAATTCTATACATATAGATAGTAAATTATCTTTATGGATACAAATGTTTAAAATATTTAATAAATGGAGCTGCATCCATCATTGTCCATTAACTTTTACCGAAATCTAAAACTCTGAAATTACAAGGCCTATTGGAACCAAATTGAACTACAATTATCCTTCTAGTATCTTTTAAAAAAAAAAAAAGTCTGATAATCCTTCTAACCAACATGACCGACATGGCTATAAATAGAAGATAGGGGTAAATTGCAAGGTTTGTCTACTATATATTGTACATCTATAGAAAAAATCTGACAGGGACAGAGATGTTCAGAATGTTGTTACATTTACACCAAATCTGACCTCATCTTCATTGATAGATTTGTATAACCCTGTGATTTTCAGATTCACCACTAGTTTCTGTAGAACTCCCAATAGTTGGGACACCAATACTAACATAACTAACCAGACAGTTAAAAGCTTTATTAAGATATATTCCTCTCTAAAATGGTACATTGATTTCTTTTATTTTCACTTTATATAAATATGTCTTTCTCATAGGAATTTAATTTTTAACAGTCTTTGATCCTTTGTTCTGGCTACTGTGGATTCATTTTTTTCATGGGATACAAATTTCTGTGGATGTCATGGTTAAACGTGAACCTCACATTTAAATGCTCAACAAGTACAAATTTCCTATAGGCTTGATAACAGACTTTACCAAAACCATGAAATCAAATATCCGTGCAAATACAGTTTTTTCTCAATCCACGAAAATTTGCACTCACGAAAATAAATGAAACTCCATTAGTTAATTTTACCAGGCGTTTATTCCATTCATTTAAGAGTCTCATACATTTGTATCAATGAACTAAACCTATTTTTACTGGAGTTTTGTTAATTTTTAATGTCATCTAACAGAATTTTTTGAGTAATATATGTTGCTTTATTGCAGACCTCTAATGAAACCATTTTGTGTTTACTGTACCATGAAGCCAAGTTTAATGTTGCGGAGGGAAGATATATTATGGATCCTTCTGACTATCATGCCTTGGCTGGAATCCATGCTTTGATACATCTGGGTCACTTTGATCCAAAAAATCATGTCTCATCTCAGTATAGGTAAGTCACTGTTGGTACCATCTTAGCTAGCCAAGGGTTACAATCCAGTCCCCCTACTCTTTACCCTTTCTAGAGTAAGAGAGAATTTTTGAATACAGTGTTGGGCCATCTAGCGACAGATAGAAGCCACTGTAATTACATCATTCTTAACCAATGGCTTGAACAGAGTTTGGAGATGTAAAAATGGTTGCAATTGTGTCTAGTGTTTACAAATTTAGTAAAGCAGGAACCACAAATACATGTTTACATTCCCACATTTGCATGAGGAACATACCCAAGAACTTCAACTAGTTGACTGAGAACTTTTGAAAGTGTCTCTAAAATCGTCCTATGTTTTGATAGTATTTCGTTAGAGACTCATTGCAAAATCTGCACGTGGCAATTGTTTATTTACATTTTTATACGACTGCAAAAAAATTTTGAGGTCGTATATTGTTATGACGTTGGCGTCGTCGTCGTCGTCCGAATACACAATGGTTTTCGCACTCTAACTTTAGTTTAAGTGAATGGATCTCTATGAAATTTTACCATAAGGTTCAATACCACAATAGGAAGGTGGGGATTGATTTTGGGGGTTATGGTACCAACAGTTAAGGAATTAGGGGCCAAAAAGGGGCCGAAAATAAGCATTTTTGTAACTTCCAGACATAACTTGTGTGTTAGCATATGGATCTCTTTGACATTGTACCACAAGATTCCATATCACAAAGGGTCAATGCTGGGATTGATTTTGGGGTTAATTGCCTCAAAATTTTAGGAATAAGGGGCCAAAAGGGGGCAAAAAACAAGCATTTTTCTAGTTTCATGACAATAACTTGTGTGTAAGTGTATGGATCTTTCTGAAATTTTACTACAAGGTTCCATTTCACAAAGGGAAAGCTGGAATTGAGTGTTGTGGTAATTGCCCAAAACGTTTAGTAATAAGGGGCCTAAAAAGGGGTTTAAAATAAGCATTTTTTAGTTTCTAGACAATAACTTGTGTTCAAGTGTATGGATCTCTCTAAAATTGTATTACAAGTTACCATACCTCAAAGGCAAGGCTGTTATTGAGCTTGGTTTGGGGGGAAAGGGGGGTGGGGGGTGATGAATCATAAGGGGGGCGGGGGTAAAAAAAGGGGTAATTTTTTTTTTCCTTTTTTTTTTGTTTAAAATTTACATTTTAAGTTAGTTATTTTTTATCACGAAGAGAAAGTAGGAATTGAATTTTGGGGTTAATTGCTCAAACATTTATGAATAAGGGGCCAAATATTGGTCGAAAATAAGGGGGGGGGGGGGGTGGTTATGGCTCTTATGTTTAAGGAATAAGGGGAAAAAAGGTTAAAAAACAAGGGTTTCCATTTTAATAGACAAATAATTGAGTAAAGAACATTATTTAAAAGCAGTGTAAGGTTGGTAATTCAAACTCATTTAAATATCTCATCTACACTGCTTTTAAATTATGTAAATTGGAAATTTGCCAATAACTTTATTGTTAATAAATGCATTGGAAATTTGCCAACAATTTTAGTGTAATAAACTTCATTGGAAATTTGCCAATATAAAATTTTGCTGATGAAGGTTTTTTGTTTACCTTTAGCCTTGACTATGAAGTCATTTTCTATTTTTATAGCCTTATGGTGTAGTTGAATTATTTAATACTTTTATGATGTGTTTAAATGGGGTTTTATCATGTTTATGGTTGCAAATTTATTGTTTTAGTATAATAAACTCCATTTAAAATTTGCCAATAAAAAAAATTTTTGTTTATTTTTAGCTATGATTATGATGTCATTTTCTATTTTACTTTTATGGTTGCAAAGAAATTTTTATTTTTAGATATTACTGTTAAATGATGCTGATTAAGGTTTTTGCTATGTTTAGCCATGACTATGATGTCATTTTCTATTTTAATATCTGTTATGATGTATTTAAATGGGCTTTTATGGTTACAAAGGAATTTTATTTTTAGATATTACTATAAAATGTTGCTGATGCTGATTAAGGATTTTGTTTATTTTTAGCCATGACTATGATGTCATTTTCTATTTTAATACCTTTATGATGTAATTTCCATTTTTAGATATTACTGTTAAATGATGCTGATTAAGGGTTTTTTGCTATGTTTAGCCATGACTATGATGTCATTTTCTATTTTAATATCTTTATGATGTATTTAAATGGGCTTTTATGGTTACAAAGGAATTTTATTTTTAGATATTACTTTAAATGTTGCTGATTAAGGATTTTTGTTTATTTTTAGCCATGACTATGATGTCACTTTCTATTTTAATACCTTTATGATGTATTTAAATGGGCTCCCATGTATTTAGATTTTTGATTATTTATACATGTTACCAAATTGGTCCACATTGAACAAAAACGGTCCAAATTTCAACTTTATTACATTACATCAAACATTGAATTCTACATATTCTTTGATATATTGAAATTAACAAACAATTTAGTTTATGGATATTCCACCATAATAGGTAAATTAAATTTTTTCCAGTTCTTACACCACATTCATCCTGTGTCAGAAACCTATGCTGTGTCAAATATTTAATGACAATCCAAAGTCATAGCTGTATCAAGCTTGAATTTTGTGTCCATACTTGCCCCAACTGTTCAGGGTTCGACCTCTGCGGTCGTATCAAGCTGCGCCCCAGCGAAGCATTTTATTCTAGAATGCTTCCTTTAATACATCTGAATCTTTTTAAATTCTGAAAATTTTCTGTCTCAGTTTAGGTTATTTGGAATTGGAAGCCTAGCTGGATTCAGGTTCTTATACATTTAGGCCAATTTCACTTAGAAGATTTTTGTCGAGCCTGCTACATTTTGTTTGGGGAAGCAAGACACAGAAATCCAACATTCCTGCTGTGTCTGTGTCGATAACATTTCAGTTCAGTCTTTGGTTAAAGTAAATCATGTACAAGAAGTAGTAACCTTGTAAATAACCTTAAAATTTTCTATTTAAACTAAATAAATATATGAAAAAGTCAATGCAATATCATTTTTCATTGCAGAGCCAACCTAAGCAAGTTTTACCCTCCACACATGTATAAATTCAAACTACAGTTGTTACACATTGGTAAGCAAAAAGAACGTCCATGTGAAGAAATATTTATGGAAGCACACAAACAAATATCTGCAAATCACAGAGAAGAAATTCGTGGTGGTGTTCTAAGAGATTTGTACAGACAGTACTTACAAATATGTTGGAAGTACTCATGTTATGGGTAGGTTTTCTATTATTTAGGTGCATATATAAAGAGAGTATTATATGAATTTTCAATATCACACCTGTATCAACCTGAGACGCCAATATAACCCTAAGAGCTCTGCTCGAGAGGTTATATTGGTTGATATTATATACTTAAAACTTACGATAAAGCCTGTACAAGAGTGACTGAAATCGATATCATTATGGATGGCTAATACTATTAGTAACACAGTGTGGTAGTGACCTAATCGATATATATGGGGTTAGTAAATTCAATATGGCGCGAAAGTGAGGGAGAAATACGGAAGTACTTGCTGAAAGAAACAAATCGTTACAGATGTATAATTTTAAAACTTTCTCCATTGCCGGTATCTGCTGAGGTCATATTTTAATCTTTTAACAAAATTTGGACCAGTTTAAATATAAGTTTCACTATTCATTGATATTTTATGAATATCTCAGTTTGGGTCTTCTCAATTCGTTTTGTAATTATCTCAGGTAAAATGTGTTCAACAAACATTATTTTCTGCATGGTTAAACATCAAAAATAAGTGTAATATGCCAGTTTGATTGTTAATCAAACAAATTGATTGACTTAGAACTAATAAGGAAACTTATTTTGATCCACAATAAAAACATATGATTTCAATATTTGATTCATTATTTCGACTGAAATTGTTTTTTTTTTTCCTTCCAAAATTTCATTTATTTAAAATTTTTCTTTGAGGGGACTTCAAAATATACTAGAATTAAACAAGATTTCGAATCAAAAGAGTTCTGTTCATCAGAGTTAGAAATGCTCTGAACAAACAGGAATTCTGCCAGGACTTACAAAATACATCGACTTATTAGAGATTTCGACACAATGAGGTTCGACTATATGTTTAATGAAACAGATAAAAGAGTGATTTTGTCAATGTATAGCTAAAGATAGTTTCATTTTCCTAATATCTGATGACATTTTCTTGCAATGCTGTACCATTTTTGCTCAGACAGAAGTACTACTTTTAATTGCTATGAGAATTCTGTTTATTTGAAAGACCTCTGTAGAATACTTCACACCGTGTTACAAAAGGGTGTTCGTTTTACTTGACCAAATCTCCTGAAATTAGTCCACAAGAAGGAAAAGATACCAAAGGGACAATAAAAAATCATAAGTCAAAGAAAGACAGTCAGACAACACTTTAGTTAAAACAAAAGAGTGCAAAAACAAACAACAGTCCACAAAGCACTTACAAACAGTAGTCCACAAAACACTAACAAACAGTAGTCCACAAAACACTTACAAACAAAAGTCCACAAAACACTAACAAACAGTTGTCCACAAAACACAAACAGTAGTCCACGAAACACTTACGAACAATAGTCCACAACACACTTATGAACAGTAGTCAAAAAACACTTACAAACAGTAGTCCACAAAACACTTACAAACAGTAGTCCACAAAACACTTACAAACAGTAGTCCACAAAACACTTACAAACAGTAGTCCACAAAACACTTACGAACAGTAGTCCACAAAACACTAACAAACAGTAGTCCACAAAACACTAACAAACAGTAGTCCACAAAACACTAACAAACAGTAGTCCACAAAACACTAACAAACAGTAGTCCACAAAACACTTACGAACAGTAGTCCACAAAACACTAACAAACAGTAGTCCTCAAAACACTAACAAACAGTAGTCCACAAAACACTTACGAACAGTAGTCCACAAAACACTAACAAACAGTAGTCCACAAAACACTAACAAACAGTAGTCCACAAAACACTTACGAACAGTAGTCCACAAAACACTACACAGAAAAGTAAAGAATTAGAAACATGAACACTACCAAAAAGGGTTGTTAAACTCAGGTGCTCTGGAAGGGTTATCAGTTCCTGCTCCACTGGTCTCTTTTTGTGTTTTTCATCACAATTAGATAGTCACATTTGGTTATGTCATGATTGAGGAAAAGAGGACTTGATTTTGGTTATGACAGACTTTGGCAAAACCACAAAATTCAATACAGTTTTTCCTCAATCGAAGAAAATGAATGAATGTAAAGTATTTTTGTTTGTTTTATTTTAACAGGAGTGCCTTCTTTGAAGGAGTGATAGAGAAACCATGTCATAAAGTAAAGAAAGCTATCTTGGGTTGTCAGCAAACTGAAGTTTTAGTTGCAATTAATACAGATGGAGTAACCGTTACTGATAAAGAAAAACCTGTAAGTAAAACAATATCAAAAGAAAATCAGACCATTTCTGTATCAACCAGAGGACCAAATGACTGAGGGCAGAGTATTGATAATTGTTGCATGTTTTATAGGCACTCAGAACAGTTGTAATAAGGACTAAAAAACACCAGATTCTTCAATTTTATTAAAACATATAACTGCTGATGAGGTTTCTGACTTGGGACAGGCTCATTAATATGTGGCAGGGTTAAATTGTTTTTTTATTTATACACAGTGGACCAACAAAATGTATATTAAATAAAATAGAATAATTAGGTACTGGAAAAGCACTTCCCTCTAGAATTGTGCTAAAATAGATAACAAAAACATACCAGGGTAAATACAATTTAAAAAAAAAACAACACATGTTTTATCTACAGTTACGGAAAGCCAGCTCAAAGAAATAAATCACACTAATATCAGTATCAGTTGCTGTACTTCATGGAAGATTTTATATAGCAATGTCATTAACATTACAGGAAGACATTGTCTTTTGCAATGTGCAGAACAAATTGAATGTGTACTTAATTTCAGTGCAGAAAAACAAAAGTAACATTTGAGTAAACATCAACTAGCCAATTGATTTTTATCTTCTAAATAACCAGAAACATTGGTTTAAAAAACATACAATTGTCTTCAAGTATTCCAGTTATCAAAAAAAGGAAGATTTGAAGGGTGATTTTCTAACTTGCAAGCTAATATTCTCCTTTTAAAAAAAATCTGTGTTATAATTTTTGAACTTTTTATGCCCTGTTTACAATAGTAGCCGCTAAATGTTTTCTGGTCTGTGCATCTGTCTGTTTGTCTGCCCTGATCAGGTAAAATTTTGGGCTAAATTAGTTGTAGTCACATCAAGTTAGTACACATATTCTTTATTATTTAAACTTTTAAAAAGTATATATGCCAAATTAGAGTTTTGACTCCAGATTTTATGGTTCACTGAACATGATGCTCTATGAACAATTACTTTTTGTATATGAATTTTTTATATTCCATAGGAAGTAATTTTGGCAGTACCGTATGAAGAACTGTCGTGGAATTTAGATACAAATGAAGATGAAGATGATTTAATACCATGTTTATTGGTACAGTTTCTATGTAAAGAAGGGAGAAGTTGTAATACTAAAGTGCTGCAGATATACTCAAGACAGGTAATGCTGTGATAGTTGTGTTGTTTCAGGGGATGTCTGGGATATTTAGTTTATACAAAACTACAAAATATAATACTTACTTAAAGATAAAGAGGATAAGGGTGATTTTTGGCTGAACAGTTGAAGTACATGCAACACAAATTCCTGTGAATTATACATTTAAGTAATTAATACGATAGTACATGTATTGTAAGATCATTCAGAAGATATTATTTTTTTTTCTTTTAAAAAAATACAATAAATTGCTTTGCCGAGCGCAGCTGGATACGACCGCAGAAGTCGAACCCTGAACAGTTGGGGCAAAAATTTACACAATATTCAAGCTTGATACAGGTCTGAATTTGGATTGTAATTAAATATTTGACACATTATGGGTTTCTGACACAGAGTAAATGTAGTCAAAGAACTTGAAATTGGTTATATGATTTTAATTTATATTCAATTTTTTGCTTTTGTGCAACACTTAGTAAATCTGTTTTCAGTCTATATACAAAGAATTAGCAAAATAAATTGTGACCCCTAATTTTTTTTTTTTGGAAAATTGATAATTTCTTAAATCTTGAGGAAAAAAAATTGACCCCCCCCCCCCCCAATTTTGTTTATCCCCCTCACCCCCCCTCCAAAAATAAAAATATTTGAAGAAAATTTCTCTTTTGTAAAATGTGGTACAATTTAAGAGACATCCATACACTTAAACACAAGTTATTGTCTGAACAAGAAAATTGCTTGTTTTGGCCCCTAATTCCTGAACGGTTTGGGCAATTACCCCCAAAATGATTCCCAACCTTCTACTTGTGGTATTGAACCTTGTGGTACAATTTCAGAGCAATCAGAATACCTATACATAAGTTAATGTCCTGAAACTAGAAAAATGCTTGTTTTGGGTCCCATTTTGGCCCCTAATTCCTCAACGGTTGGGACCATCACCCCCAAAAACAAGCCCAACCTTCCTTTTGTGGTATTGAACTTTTTGGTCAAATTTCATAGAGATCCATACGCTTAAACTAAAGTTATTGTCCGGAAACCAAATGTCTTCGGACGACGTGATAGCATTATACGAATGCAAATTTTTTGCGATCGTATAAAAACTATATAGTTTTGATATGTATTTATGAATGCTAGGCGAAGCATGCATTAAGTTTTACCCTTGTCCTAACGTCCGTACATGGTGTCCGTTCTCTAACTTTAGTTTGCCTCAATGAAATATTATGAAACTTATATACACAATGCTTATTACAACCAAACATAGATCAAGTTTGTATTTTGGGTTGCATAACTTTTACTTTTCTCGAGTTATGTGCTTACATTTTTAATGGAAAAATTGCTGAATTTGCCATAAATTTATTAGCAGGGGCATTTGTATCCAATGTGGGACACATTCTTCTTTTATTTTTATGAAGAAATGTTGTCTATGAAAACTGTTAAATTATTCTTTTCCTTTTTGCCATACCCTGTCCAAATGTGAGTCTCAAATGAATGCATTTCCAAAATTTCACCAATTGTTTCATAGTATACATGTTCAAGTATCCGTAACATTAAACTAACTTTACAGTGTATTATTTTGATTACATATATGCCACATATTTGAAACCAATGTGTGAACTAAATGTTTTGAAGGTATTCTAAAAATGAAAGCATGAAAAACAAATGCAGACAGGATGGAAATCCAAAGATCTAACCACACTAAATGTATTAGAAAATTGTATAAGGTCATCTTTGTCTGAGGGTGTTGAGCTTTAGTTTATAAATTATTTTTATAAGTTATAAAATTTTTGTGATTTTCTGGATGCCAATTAATAGATTTTATCATCTGATACAAAAAATGTACTGAAGTTCCCCGAACCTCTTACCTGGACAGATTCAACTTAAAAGCATTTATTAAATTTTAATCTTTTTAGGCCAAACTTATGGATGCATTGATAGATTCATCAGTAAAACGTAAACTCCAGAGAGGTTCTTTACATGGAAGGGAAGACTATGTAGATGGAGGAGGAGAAATATACAGGAATGGTTAGATACTTAATCGTGATATGATGAAACTGAAGAATACTGTGTTCCAAAATTTATACTGAAGACCACAAAAGTTGTTATAAACTTATTAATCTATCTCAAAATGAGTTAAGAATTTTTACAGAATTTAGACTATGGAAATGTTTTTTCAGCACAATATAAAGATAAGGAGATGTAGCATGATTGCCAATGAGACATCTATCCTCTGAAGTCCAAATGATGTGGATGTTAGCAACTATAAGTCACTGTACAGCCTTCAACAATGAGCAAAAGCCATTCTCAGTCTGTATACTTAGCTATAAAAGACCCTGACATGACAAGATATAAAACAATTCAAACAAGAAAACCAAAGGCCTGATTTATGACAAAGCAATAAACTAAATATAGACATTGCCAACAGTAGTCAATGACAACCACTGAATTACAGGACCACTGATGAAATTTATTTTTATTTTTCAGAAAACTTTTGTAGGAAGGTAGACAATAAGATGGAAAAAATGTGTCTGACTACTTACTCATTAGAAGGTACTGGTATGTCTAACTATCTGTCAGTCTTTTTGTCAACACCATGATTTTACTAAATATTGATTTTACTAAAAGTGTTTCCGAGATGAAAGTTTTCAAAAAATACTAAAAACATGTATAGGGGTCAACTGATTTATTTATGTGCATGAATATAACCTTTACCTATCATTTTGATGATATTTTTGCATTTTGAAGGTCATCTTGACTTTGATATTATTAAGGTGAAAAAAGATTTAGCATTAAAATAACATTTTTAAAATTTGAAAATACAGAATAAGTATTAATATGTCATAGAAATATTTTTTCAATAAATAAAGTGATCAAAGTGACTGATTTGTTTTCTTGCTACCCTTAGTTATCATAAATTATCAATCATCATGATCTGGCACCTTCTTTTTAAGTATGGTTCACAAGTTCAACAGGAAGCTAATTGTACTTTTTTACTTTTAGAGACAAGAGGATAATTAATGGATGACAGATGAAGTTACTGCATAATATGAATTGAAGCACGACATCTATGCATTTGAGCCCTGATTGGGGTCTATTGTTACTGTTGACTTGGTACAAGTAGATATTACTTATGGGTAGCTTTACCACCATATTAAATGGTTGTAGAATGTTATTTAGTTTTGATCATAAAAATATCCATTGTTGCTAACCTGGCATTTCATCCGCATATAAGCTATTTCAGACTTTCTACAGAAATGAAACTTGACTCAAATCGTTAGAGATGAATTTAAGATTGATGCAATTGGGGCAATTTTAAATGTATTGTAGTAATCATAAAGAACTCTATACTTGTTTAAGAAAAAAAAACTGTTGTTAAAAAGTGGTTAACTAACATAAAGTACATTATTTAATTGTATGATATATGAAATGTAATTTTTAAAGCCTAGCACTGATGAATTGTTAAGGTCAGTTAATTTCTGTTAAGTTTTAACCTAAAAAATCCATAATGTGACCAAAAGTGAAAAGTGGATTTATTCAAACAAAATGACATTATTTGAAAAAAACAATTTTGGGAGGTACCGACGGACGGAAGGAAGGAATAAAAATTACAAAGTGAGGACTCCAGTATTTGTGTTTCATACAAGGAACAATATAACTTTTTACACTTTGTATCCAACATAATTTTTGAAATGTCTGTTTTTGTTGTGTTAACCTTGTTTGGTTTTGTTCATATCATGACTAATATTTGTTATTGTCAATTCCACATTGACAGTTATGTGTCTTTTCCATTTGTTTTTTTGTGAACTATTCTCCAATAGATGTATTTTACCATGATTTCCTCACTTTTCATAGTGTTATCTATTTCAACAATTTGTTAGTTTATGCCATTTTGTAGATATTTGATTTTATCATCAATAATGAAAGTGCAGTCGTCAAATTTTGTAAATATTTACCACATATTAAAACAACAAATATGAAGATTTTTTTTTATCATGACCTTTCAGGCTTAATTATACATATAATAACCTTTCTAAATGAGCTTAGAGTAGATTCTAAAGTTACTGGAGTAGATAGAAATATAATGGCTGATAACAAATTTGACCATATTTTTATCATTTTATACTGTTCAGAAGCTTATTTACATGTATATAAGGATTAGTAGCATTCCTAGTTCAGTCTATTTTCTTTTTATGTAGGTAATGCCTCTAGACAATATAATAACATATTCTATTTATAGTAACACCTGGTGTTAACTTCCTATCCTTTGACAAGGATTTAATAGTAAATAAAGTCTACACCAGATACTGCTATAAATATATAGGGTTATTTAATTTTAGTTTAAATAAATAGTTTTAAAATAATCAAGAAATACATAAATTTAATGTCTTAAATTTTGGAACTAAATTTTATTACCCAATACTAGTTTTTTTAAAACACAAGTTGTCTTATTCCAGAACTTCTCCTAAATGCTGGCTGTGCTTGGAAGAAATATGTTTTTCAGAAATATTTTTATATGATTGTGATATTTTTTGTTTTGATATTGTATACATCTAGTTTACATACTTTTGAATAAAAGAAATTAATCATAAGGAGATTATTATTCTGCCATTTAGAAATGCTGTTGTGACATAGATGAAGCATTAAAAAATCTGTTTGAATCTGTAGCTACCTTAAATATTGATTGTTTTGGTCTCATTTTGACGAAGTGACAAAGGGGACACTTAGGCATGCTGCATCCTTACAGGAAACTTGGTCTTTTTTGTGTGGTTGGGTTGCTGTCTCATTGATATATATCCCACATCTCATTTTGTTCTTTATTTATAAGCAGACAAATACAACAACAATTTGTAATCATTTATTTTCCTTATTTGACCCGATTAATAAACTGTTACAGACTAGATGTCATTCAACAAAAATCAATATAAAAATATGTAACAAAAGTAGTATAAGGAATCATCTCATAGTTTAACATTTATCTAAATAGTATGATTGGTAATGGTTATTTTTTTTATTTGTAAAGTTTCAAACAAACAAAGTTCAGATAGTGAGTTTTAAAATGTTTGTGCAAAAAAGTAGTAAAATAAAAAGAGTCAAATTATGTTAAAAAAAAAAAAAAAAAAAAATGGGGACATGGATGAAATAAAACACCAAAAAGACGAACAAGATTCCAAAAACACATTAAATAAAACTTTAGATTGAGCAGCAAAACTGGGGGTGAATGCAGGCATTCCAGAAGTCCAGTGGTATTCTTTGTGTTGATCATGAAAAGCACAAATCCAGTGGAAAGTGTTAAGTAATGGACCCTATGGTAGCTACAACATATGTAACATCTGTCATTTGTTCCATTTTCATTGGAGATATGTTTCTACAATTTCATTCATGTCAATCAAGTCAAATTATATTTAATGGGGGAAAAAATAAACATTTTGAGATGACCCCTTATAAGCACGCACATCAATGTCACTGATGCTGCACATTTACACTGATTCTAAAAATAACAGACATTTAGTGATAGAAACAGAAAAACATTTGTCAATGATCAATTTCAGTTGTACATCAAATATATATACCCATTAAAATGAATTTATGAAAACTAATGCACTATAGATAATCCTTGTTTTATTTCATGACGAGTTCAAATAAGATTTAAAGCTTAGACAATATAGGGTTATTCTCTTCATACTGCAATGAATTGCAGAAGACAAAAAATGAACAAACCTGCACTCATTCATAGTGTCTTAAATGAAATTCAAATGAAACGTAATTAATACCAAACAATGTGGTACAAAGTAAGTAAATGTACAGTCATCTTTGTTTGTCCAATAAGTCTGCGTTTGTTTACCTAATGTAAGAACGAACAAGCTTATAAGTCTATTATATGTTATTACCGGCCAACATGGTATACAAATGTATTACAAATACACTGAACATTTAGCATTACTACAGTATAAAGTCATTTACAGTACTATATCAATATGATATAATAATTCTTAACAAAGGTGACAAACACTTACTTCTTTTGAAAACTGGTCAGGAAAAAGATATACGTTAAAAATAAACTGCTTCGCTGAGCGCAGCTGGATACGCCCGCAGAGGTTTAACCCTGAACAGTTGGGGCAAAAATGGACACACTATTCAAGCTTGATACAGGTCTGAATTTGGATTGTAATTAAATATTTGACATACATCTATTATAGGTTTCTGAATAAATGTAGTCAAAGAACTTGAAGTTGGTTATATGAATTGAATTTATATTCAATTAAAGATTTCTTGCTGTTGTGCAATACACTGTGCTGTTGCGCAATACTTAGTAAATCTGTTGTCAGACAGTTAAAATTCTAAAGGGAGCTTACACCAATAGATATAAACAGTTTACCAAAGTTTCATACAAATTGCTGAAAGCATTTTTGAGTTTTTGTCTGAAAACTGGAAAATCCCCCCTTTTTTAATGAATAAACCCCATAATTCGGAAATGTAAAATCTAAAATTTATAAAATTCTAAAGGAAGCTTACATCAAAAGATATCAACAATTCATCAAAGTTTCATGAGAACTGCTGAAAGCATTTTTGAGTTATTGTCCGAAAACTGGAAAATCCCCCTTTTTTTTATGAATAAAACCCAATAACTCGGAAACGTAAAATCTAAAATTTATAAAAATCCAAAGGGAGCTCATGTCAATAGATATAAACAATTAACCAAAATTTCTTGCAAGTTGGTGAAAGCATTCTTGACTTATTGTCCGAAAACTGGAAAATCCCCCTTTTTTTAATGAATAAAACCCCATAACTCCGAACGTAAAATCTAAAATTTATAAAAAACGAAAGGGAGCTCACGTCAATAGATATAAACAATTCACCAAAGTTTAAGCAAATTGGTTAAAGCGTTTTTGAGTTAATGTCCGACATGTTGACGACGGACGGACGGACAGACGGACGGACAGACGGACGCACAACGGTATACCATAATACGTCCCGTAAACGGGCGTATAAAAAATGAGGTGTAATCACAGTGTAATTATTAAATATCAATATAATATTTGACTAGCTTCTACATTAAAAGGGACTGAACACTACTTATATATACATATTTAAGTCTGGTAAATTCATCTGTCCAAGATATCTTTTTGCATAACGTTTAGATGGACAAAAAAAAATTACCAGCCAGAGCCATAGTTTCCATGGCTTTGCAGAAAGAAATCAGTCATGGATAAAGATGTGACGAGGCCATTTTTGTTGTTGCTCTTAACATTTAAAAAATGATGAAATGAAAAGGATCAATTAATATAAAACAATACATTTATCTGTCAGATATCAAAATTAAATATTTGGAGAGGGGGCTAAAATCACCCTTATCATACCTTGTCCTTTCATTTTACATATTTGCCTTCAGTTTCTTACTGCACTTAAGATAAGGCCACAACAATTTCAAAATTGTCTCTTTAGATATTTTGTCACTTATAGGTAATAAATAAGCTTAAGCTTTGAGAAAACTAAATGTGGAACAATTCAATGCATTCTTTATGTATATTATCAAGTTCGTTTGAGCTGGTAAATAGTTTCAGGTGATCTGTTAATAGCTGAGAGTCTGGTGAATACTTGGACAACAATAACGTGAATGTTGATGCAAAGCAATGTATACTGATCCCTATAAATCAGGAGTAATACAATGGTCAATGAAAAATATCAAATATAAGATGAACATGTTTTTTATACATATAAAATTACTTATAAACATACATAAGTTGGATAGTTAAAAATAACAATTATATCACAACCTAACACATAGGCACTTAACCATTTCAGATGTGACCTTATTCTATCTACATAATCAAATACTTATCAAATACCAAGGATTACTATACAAATCCTTGCAAATACTAATCTAGCCTCAATTTTTGTAGATTAACCAGCATCTGATTAAACGAAATCATATATAGTAGTCATTTTAAAAAAAATATTCAAATTATTCCAAGATATATCATCCTAATTTTGGAGACATTTGAGAAAAGAAAAAACTGCATTCAAACATGAATACACTAAGTCCTCATTATTGCCAAAATACCACTAATTTTCTACAAATAATAATATGGTATTTATACAAACAACCAAATGTGTATTCTGTTGTCTCATATTGTAATTCTTTTCTGTAGTCTCATATTTTTATTTTTTCTCCAGTCTAATGTTGTATATTTATAGTCTCATAAAGTGAAATATTGTTTCTGTACTTTTTAGTATGAGGTTGTCTTGAATTCTTGTGAAGTTGTTAGAGTGGTCTGCAAATACTCCTTGTTTATGACTCTAGTGTCAGTGATCAAAACATTCCAAGTCACCAGAGGCAGGCTTACTAAATTTCTTGAGACATATTTTTATTTACCTTTTCCAAAGATCAAGGTATCAATATGCAAGCCTTCCATTGATAAAATGAAATGTTTATGATCCCATCAACCTATATTTTAACAGATGTAATTTTTCAGGTAGAATTATGTTTTGTGTGTATTGATGAGCAAGTCCTGACAACCCACACTTAATTAAAGTAAAACTCTCCTAATAGAGCAAATCTCAATTATTAAAGTCCAGATCTCATCCATGTAATTGAGCAAATACCAGCTCAGAAAAACAATACCAAATGTAACATAAGGGGTATCTGTGTGTAAACCAAAAACATAGTCTTAGCAAAATCATACTGGCTTAAAGCAGAAAGATATTTTAGAATGAATAATAATTTTATTATAAAAAACAATTAATCAATCTGGTTTTGGCCCTAGGGAAACACTCAGCATACAAGACAATTTTGAGTTCCTGCCTGAGCAAGTCAGCTTGCAACCTCCAGTGTGAGGAAGAACCTGCCTGCCCGACAATACGCCAGCCGGGGAATGTGAAGCGAGGGTTCTCCACTTAGGTGATGAGACTTGGCGTCTCATCTGCAGCCGGGGTGTGCAAGGTCTGCATGGGGATAGCCCATGTGCTAGTAGAGTAGCAGGGGTCTATCAAACTGGCGCTGGAATAAATTTGATAAAATTTGTCCCCGAAATGCTTGGGGATGAATGAAATTTTAGAAATAACCAGTGATAAAATTCCATCAAGGAATTCAAATTAATAAAATAAAATATATATCACTAGTAAAAGCTGTGATGTTTCCCTTGTCATGAAACATTATTGAAGGTGTTAGGAAGGTGGATGGTGGGCGGTAAATTAAATAATAGCACTGTAAAACTATATCAACTAGTCAAGACTGCTATGAACCAAGCAACTGATTATACAAAGACCATGCATATGGCCTTACACACAGATAGGGTACATCAATTATACAGTGGGAGGAGACTGACCTCACTGACCTTCAGATAGTATACTAATTGTTGTGTAATTAATTTTTTTAAGATCTGGTATCATAATCTGCATTTCCTCACCAACAGTGATTATTTATGACATGTATCTGATTAAGAAAAGATTATAGTGCCTCCTAGTGAGATTCCAGTTGTAACTTCAAAGTGTCAAATGCCAGGGAAATTAACCTCAAGATATAACAAGTGGTCTGTGTATGTTAATTAAATGTATCCAGAATGTCAGCATCTTTATTATCACATTAATTATTAAGTGTAAGCTGGAATGGCTGTTTGTATAAACAGTACTTATATTACATATAAGTACAATATTTATACAAACAACCAAATGTGTATTCTGTTGTCTCATATTGTAATTCTTTTCTGTAGTCTCATATTTTTATTTTTTCTCCAGTCTAATGTTGTATATTTATAGTCTCATAAAGTGAAATATTGTTTCTGTACTTTTTAGTATGAGGTTGTCTTGAATTCTTGTGAAGTTGTTAGAGTGGTCTGCAAATACTCCTTGTTTATGACTCTAGTGTCAGTGATCAAAACATTCCAAGTCACCAGAGGCAGGCTTACTAAATTTCTTGAGACATATTTTTATTTACCTTTTCCAAAGATCAAGGTATCAATATGCAAGCCTTCCATTGATAAAATGAAATGTTTATGATCCCATCAACCTATATTTTAACAGATGTAATTTTTCAGGTAGAATTATGTTTTGTGTGTATTGATGAGCAAGTCCTGACAACCCACACTTAATTAAAGTAAAACTCTCCTAATAGAGCAAATCTCAATTATTAAAGTCCAGATCTCATCCATGTAATTGAGCAAATACCAGCTCAGAAAAACAATACCAAATGTAACATAAGGGGTATCTGTGTGTAAACCAAAAACATAGTCTTAGCAAAATCATACTGGCTTAAAGCAGAAAGATATTTTAGAATGAATAATAATTTTATTATAAAAAACAATTAATCAATCTGGTTTTGGCCCTAGGGAAACACTCAGCATACAAGACAATTTTGAGTTCCTGCCTGAGCAAGTCAGCTTGCAACCTCCAGTGTGAGGAAGAACCTGCCTGCCCGACAATACGCCAGCCGGGGAATGTGAAGCGAGGGTTCTCCACTTAGGTGATGAGACTTGGCGTCTCATCTGCAGCCGGGGTGTGCAAGGTCTGCATGGGGATAGCCCATGTGCTAGTAGAGTAGCAGGGGTCTATCAAACTGGCGCTGGAATAAATTTGATAAAATTTGTCCCCGAAATGCTTGGGGATGAATGAAATTTTAGAAATAACCAGTGATAAAATTCCATCAAGGTCCAAAAACTCAGATGGAAACAGCTGAGTGCCCCCAAGGATTTAGGATTAAGATTTATTCACCTTCAATAAAGTCATGAGAAAAAAAAAATAAAATTACAATGAAAATATATGTACGTACATGATATATATATGTGTAGATCTACATCCTAATTTACAATTATGTAACTAAAAGTAGTCAGTATCAAAACATTATAATGCTTTAGATTAATATTTTCCTAACAAATCTTGTGCATACTTAATTGAAGAAGATGACACTCTTATATACCTGCAGTAACTATCAGAGGACCAGCGTCCTAGTATTTTGACCAAATGGTCACATGATAATACTTTAAAAATGATATGCAATATTCAAAGTTCTAACATGAGAATGCTATAAAAAGATATTCATTTATCCAATGATGAGATTACTATAAAAATGAATATCAGTAATCCAATGATGAGAATGCTATAAAAATTATTATCAGTAATTCAATGTTGAGAAAGGTAAAATATGATATTCAATAATTCAATGATGAGAATGCAATAAAAATTATTATCAGTATTTCAATGAGATGAGAATGCTATAAAAAATGGTATTCAATATCAAAGTTTTTGAACTGAGAGCTACACTAGATTGATTCATATAGATTTGAACATCATGAAAGATGCATTCAGTATTGTAATTCAGAGAGCAAGAAACTGCCTGTACAACAATATGCCAGTTTGGGAATGTGGAGCGAGGGGTCTCCACAAGGGGGTGAGACTTGGCGTCTCATCTGTAGCTGTTAGTGTGCTAGGTCTGTATGGGGGATAGCCCATGTGCTAGTAGATTAGCCAATTAAGGTCTATCATAACTGGTACTGAAATACAGGCATGTTAATGCTATAAAACTATATTTAGTATTCAAATATGATAAATTTTCCTAAAAAGATTTTGAAGAAAATACCATTGTTCAGTTATGCAGTTAATAAATAATTCTTTTGAATGCCTGAAGCTCTCATCATTGAATACATGTATATGCAATTATATATTTAATAATTCTTTTGGTGTGTTTGTCTAAAGTTCAAAGTACACCATGTGTACACAGCTATAAAGAACTGTTAGATTCTGGGGTGGTATTGACTGTTTGTATATACTGCTGTCTCCAATGTGAACATTGGGTGTGTAAATATAAAAATTTTGAAATGCATCTATACTCTACGGTAAACATCACTGTATTCCCAAATATAAATCTCTTTAACATATTAGGTTTCAACAGTAAATCTCCACTGTGTATAGAGCAATAATTATAATACCTATGTACATACTGTCTCTGCTATTGTTAAAAGATGTAAAAATGCCTGTCTAAAACATAATAGAATCTCTATAATATATTTAAAGTAATAGACAAACTGTACGGTTCCTTGGTTCTTGGGTTTGCCATATTTTAAATGCAAAGTAGTCTATTTAAAAAGTGTAAGTTGTCAGATTCTACGGATTCAAGTATGCTTGAAATAGCAATTTCCCAAGTAAGTTTACAATTGGTTTGAAAACAAATACTTCTGGACTCGTTCGGCACTGATGAGGCTGTAGTGCTGCCTTGTAGTCAAATGCTAAAACCGTGTATCCTACATGCTCTGTTTGAATAGTTGGAGAAATAATGTCCACACAGATAACAAATATGAACATACTCTTGGGTCCATGTCGAAATACAGAGGCTCTAGTATCAAAATATGGTAGTCATGTCTGTTGTAATCCTGTTTACACATGAGGAATTCTGAACTTGATAAATGTGAGACTAGTTGCTGATTGTCCTAATTAAACCACAGATGAAAGATGAAATATTGTTAAAGATTATCCAACTGGTGATACTGTGGTTAGCATACTGCAAAAGTTCATGAGAATATATAGGTAGGACTGAGCTCCAGTTGAACCAAAGTAAAGTTAAATAATAAGGTCTGGAAATAATTGTTCTTCCCATTGACATATAATTCCAGCTGTGCCACATCTTAGGTAAAATGAAGAACTTGATAGTGTCTAATGTCTTTGATTGAAAATCTGATGAACCTAATGTGCATACAGGAGGTGCAATCTGTCTCCATTCCTCAGTGTTTAGATATGCAAATAAAGAAATGAAGAAAGGTGTCAGTATTAGGCGATATCAAATGCTGTATTTATGTTGAACTATAAATATATATAAATTTATATGTAAAACAAACAAAGTTACTGTTTATCCATTTAGAATCATTAGAAATCTGATATAAGGATGTAGTTAGGTGAAATTAAAAAGATCTGGAGTTTAAAATTTATACTATAAACCAGAACTCATTCAAGTTAAGGGGGAGAAAAAAAAATTAAAAATTTATATAAAACATTGCATTATTTGGGTCTCAAATTGTAAGAAAAGAAATCTTGGATCTGTTTAAATTTGGTAAGTAACCTTTTATGACCTATTGAAGTCTTATATACTAAGAAAGTAGGTGATATGAAGAAAACGTCTGTAAAATGTATCTAAAATCTCCATATACACTTGATGCAAAGACTAGGAGTATTCAGCATAATTATACAAAATATACTATTCTATGTGATTGTCAGAATAAAAAAGAAAATAAAAAAATATTAAAATTACTTCGCTCATTATGGCAGCTAGGGCCCTTTAGTTTCTTTTATCTTAGCTATCTTTAAATTATGAAACTACTTAATAATTATTCTGCATAGGTGGGGTATGTTATGAGGACAACAAACCAAAATCTTAGAAGAGAGACAAATAAAAAATAAATAAAATAAAACACTTTTATTCCAACATAGATGATGAAAAGAATCCATACTTAAGTATTTCATGAGGCCGTTTTCTGAATATGCATGTTAAGATATATAAAAGAAAGTGAAAATTCGATTATTTCTTTTATATAAACCTGTTAAATCTATTCTCTAGTTTGCCGTAAGCTTAATACATCTGTATATAAGAAATAAAAGTTCAATACAAAATACTTGCCTAGAACAGTTGTATAGAAGGTAAGGCCAGTGCATAAGCACTCAATGGTATGCTGGAAATCTCTGTATGGTCACAAATACATATGGATCTGCATGATGATGTTAGATTCTGCTCTTTCACATAATAATCTCCGACACAGTTATCAATGTTATAAACTCCACAAGTATAATACACACAATGCAATGCTGCTTTATGTAAGTCATCCAAATTCAGATAGATCCAAAATAAAATTAATGTGTACATGTACTACACAAGTTTTGAAACATTGAAAACTCAGCTGTGTATAGGTTAATAAGATCCGAAGGTGAAAACAAAACAAAGTTCATGTACATGTACAAAGTATTACAAATCAGTATGGTAGCGGTTTGGTAATTAATGCAGCCACATTGTGACAATGAAGTCCAGTTATAAAGTTGAAATAACAATAAATTAAATAATAGCACTGTAAAACTATATCAACTAGTCAAGACTGCTATGAACCAAGCAACTGATTATACAAAGACCATGCATATGGCCTTACACACAGATAGGGTACATCAATTATACAGTGGGAGGAGACTGACCTCACTGACCTTCAGATAGTATACTAATTGTTGTGTAATTAATTTTTTTAAGATCTGGTATCATAATCTGCATTTCCTCACCAACAGTGATTATTTATGACATGTATCTGATTAAGAAAAGATTATAGTGCCTCCTAGTGAGATTCCAGTTGTAACTTCAAAGTGTCAAATGCCAGGGAAATTAACCTCAAGATATAACAAGTGGTCTGTGTATGTTAATTAAATGTATCCAGAATGTCAGCATCTTTATTATCACATTAATTATTAAGTGTAAGCTGGAATGGCTGTTTGTATAAACAGTACTTATATTACATATAAGTACAATATTAATAATAAAAATGAATTTCCTATCAGCATCAAAAGGTTTTAAATTCTTGAGCTTTTTAATTTGGAATGTGCATAATTGTATAATCAAAAAAATTTGTAACAGTGTCCCTGTAAGACAAATTTATAAACTAAAAATTATGAATCCAATTTGTTATCATTTCATGTAAGTAAAATATAACAATACTGTCACCATATTGAACATTGAATTATAATCTTCATAATCTTCTTCTAGTGCCAATTGCGATATTAGATCATCAAGTTTTAAATTCTCTGGAGATGTAAATATTTTTGGGTTTAGAAAAACTAAAAATGTTCATCTTTTGATATTTCAAACAACTAATACATAATTTGTTACATTTCAGTGAAGTAAATTCCTTTTCATGGAAGTAATTTTACATAATGAAGACATTTTGGCATGCAAGTTGTTTAAACTTAATCATACCATTACAGAACTGTCTATTATATAATATAGCAGTGTTCCCAAAACAGTTTAGCAATTATAAAGAAAAACTGTCAGATTTTAATTTGGAAATTTTTGTAATGCTAAAAAAGGGAGATAACCAATCTGAGACAATAACAGACCATACAGCACTATGAAGAAATATATAAGGTTATTGTGTGAAGATTATGAACTAGATGTTCTTATTCTAAATTTTTATTTTAAATGTCTAATTGGTGTATAAGGTTAGACTTTTACAAGATTTTCTAATTTGCTTTTGATTGATGAGTTTAATTTTTGACATTTCACAAAAGTAAGAGGGTGGTAAAGGGTTATTTTCGTGCAACGTGTTTTGCCATTTTTATTTCACGTGCAGCCGTGAAAAAGGTTCGTTATTCACCGTGTTTCGTGAAATCGGTAAAAAGATCAACTTGCAAGAAATTTTTAATTGTTCGTTCATCGTGAAATGGCAATTTTATTTCGCGTTCTTCCGTGCAGATACCCCCCCTTTACGCCCCTCAAGTAAATGTCAAGTCTCAAAGTATAAATTTCAATTTCTATAGTTAGCAACAGGATTAAATAATTATTTATTTCATCTCACTGGTCTTAAACCTGTGTCTTGCTATACTGGTATAATAATAAAAAAAAATCAATATCAATATTTACATCAGTCGACATTTCTTAGTCCTTGCAATATCTTTTTTTTTATATTATTTATAGATTTAGAAATAATCAAACAAAAAGTATGAAAAACACCTAACATCTTTAAATTACTTTTAAAATAAAATGAGACGGCAACTGAACAATCAAACCAAAAACAAACAAACAAACATGTACAGGATGATCTACAGCCTTCACAAGGGCTTATGTTTTAAGGTTAAAATGAAAAGCCACAGTTTTGATTGAGCTTTTCAAACAGAAACAATCTTTTTACTGGACAGTCCAGAGAATGCTATAACAAGAGACTAAAGACCTTAACAGACAGATCTATGATCAATAATAAAACATTAACATTGTAGCAGTTATTCCAACTCGAACAATCACCATTTATATCATCAAATTTACACATCATAATCATTCAAATTCAAAAATCACAATGTCTTTTTCATCATTTAACACATCCTAAATTATTCAAATAAAAAATCATGACCTCCATTTTCACATTGAACACACATAACAATTATAATATTCAAAATTTTGAGAGAAATAGTGTTATATGTAACTTTAGATATATAGCAAATTCAAAAAAGAAGAATTGAACAGGAATGTGTTTATTTTATTTATAGATTAGCTATGCCCTTTTAAGATATATTACTTGTACATTTTTGACATTTGTAGTTTTGTTTTCCTGAGTAAATCTACATATCTAATCTACTCCTAGCTAATATATGATAAAAAAAAATTTATAAAATGATTTTATATTTGTACTGAATGTAAAAAAAATATATATATAACTATAAGTTTCCTAAAAGGGAGTTGGTACATATTACTGTGGATTCATTTATTTTTTGGGATTGAGGAAAACTTGCATTTTTTGGATATTTTTTGCCAACTGAAAGTCTGCATACAACATTAAAGGAAATTTGTTATTTGTTGAATATTTAATTTCGTGGTTCACTTGTAACGACGAAATCCAAGAAAATTAGTATCTCACGAATAATGATCATGAATCCACAGCAAACATCCTTGTCATTGAAATTAAAATAAAAAAGTTTGTATATTGTGATGTGATATAAAAGATAGTGAGATAAAAAAAATTACTTAATACTAGCCTTCAACTCTGACATTAAAATAATGCTGATAAAAATTTAAACAAATAAAAAAAATTATTTTACACAAAATCATCTGTCTCCAGGATATTTTTTATCAAGTTAGATAGAAAACAATATTTCAAATGTGAACTATATCCTGTATTTTCACTCCTGTGACATCATCGATTAATAAAAACTTCTTGTTGTATGATGTCACAGTAGGTGTATATTAAAACTAACTTTCATGTTTAATCAAACTGTTTTACTGGTCTTTCCTGTATGGTTCAAACAAAATTCCATTTGATTTTGAAGAAAATTGCATATGGTCTTAAACAATTTCAACAAAAGGTAAATCTGAGTTTCATGAATTTTTTATAAAAATCATTATAATTTTAAATGTGAAACTTTGAAAATAGTTCAAAACATGAATGAAATAAGATTTACAAATATAATGATGTTTAAAAGAAATATAAATAAAATCTCCAGAAGTTCCTGTTGTATGTTAACTCATAACTTGTATCTATATACCATATTGACTTGTGAAAGCATTATGATTTGAAAATGCATCTTATTCCTATAAAGAATCACTTGCTCTAAATTGATTATGAATATTAAATCATATCTTATTGACTATTGTGATTAATCAGATGTTCTGTTTCCTCTGCTTCTTCTGAATCACTGTGAAAACCATTGGCAAGTTTGGCATCATTTACAGTATCATGTGACTTATTAGTGGTGTCATGTGACTTATTAGTGGTGTCATGTGGATTTTTATGATCATGGGATTGTTTAAGTAATGGACTATTTTCACTTCCCAAGGAATGTTGAATATTAGAGTTCTCGTTATCAGTTGGTTCAGTCAACTGGTTTGAATTCTGCTCAACTACAGAATTATTTTCTATAGATAGATTTTGATTTGAATCTGACTTTGCCTGATCTTCCTTTTGTTCTCCATTCCTTCCACTGTCTATTTCTGTTTTCACAGAATCCTTTACCATGACAGCATTCCTGTTTCCTTCCATTGAAGCACCTTTACTCATATCTTCCTTCATACACATTGACTCATCTATGTTTACATCTGATGTACTGACCACCCTTTCAACCTTCTTTCCAGAAGAGTCATATGTATCCTTGGCAATGCCTAGTAAATGCTCTGCTTCACTTGGACCTGTCTGCTGCACCATTTTAGAAAAATAGCCATCTTCAATTTGAAGGAGCAGATATGGATGATCAAATTCCATTATATTTCCTTCATCAAGAACCTAAAAAAAAACATATCATGATAAAACATAATGAATCCACTATTACAAAGTTTGCCTTGTTCCCCAAATTGTGTTTTTGACTTTTGATTTCAATTATAAAAGGGATAAAATGTAGGTCACAATTACTAAATTTATAAATCACTGAATCTATCCAAATACCTCATTACAAGATTGCAGCTGAAGCTTAACTTAAAAATAAAATCAGATGTAAAATTAAATCTTAGTCAGTGAAGCATGTATATCAAAGTGCATTTCTTCTAGTGGAAAGCATCATGCTCTCATAAATTAATCTCTACACTTTTCATACATCCACTTAAATTTGGCAAAGTCATTTCAGAGAAAAACATGAAAATGTGAAGTTAATGTATAACAGACAACAGATACCAAATGATTGCAAACTCTGGCTAGGTGAGCATAAAAGAATATTTGATCTAGATAGTCCCTATCAATTAAGTAAAACCAAGGCCATGTTTTTTTCTCTTTTGAATTGTTTCACACTTTGTCATGCCATGCCTTTTATAGTTAACAGAATGTATAGCCTATGGGTTTTGCCTATTGTTGATGACTACAGTGACCTGTAGTTGTGTTCTTACTGGTCTTTTAATCTCTTGCTCATTGGCAGTCATGCCACATCTCCTTAATTTTTTTTGTCAAGTACATTAAATATGATTGAAAATGAAGGAAAAAAACAAAACAGCTTATTAAATCTGGTTTTTGTCACAAAAAGATAAAAGCCAAATCAAAATGACATTTATATGAAAAAAATCAAAATTTTGAGTGTTCAACCATGACTGAATCATACAATTGTATCTAAGAAACTATTAAACAATGTTAGAAAGAAAAGAAGTAGCTCAAATCAATACAATTAGCATATCTGAACCCTTTCTGTCCAAAGGAGTAGGTCCGGTAAGGGCCGATTTTGGCCTCAAAATTCAGGTTCATCTGAAGAAAGATTTTGGACACTTTTTAAACACTCAAGTGTCTACTTCAGTCGATTCAATTAGTTTATGTGAAAGATTTGAACTAATTTAATCATTAAAGTCGCTCAAATTCAAGCTTAAATATGAAAAATCTATCAAATATGCCATAATATGTCACATTTCGGATGGTTTTTGTCAAAAATGAAAGTGGCCGCATCCGTGTTCATTCTCAACCTTTATATATGTTATGTATTATCATCAAATACAACTTACATTTAAATATTAAGAATGAACACAAATGCGGCCACATCCATTTCAGACGGAAACCGTCTAAAAATTAACCAAAATGCTAAACTTTCGAAGATTTCAGTAATTTAGCATGACTTAATGATGCTAGTACCAGATACATGTGCATTGTATTGTCAAAAACTGCCCATATCTATGTAACAGAAGTATTCTTCTTTCCAATAAATAGCTAAAAATTTACATTTTAACAATTTTGTAAAACTGCTATATTTTGGGGCCAAAAAGGGGTCTTACTGGGCCTACTCCTTTGAGTGGCAATCTTTGAATTTAGTTTTATGCAAGGAAGATGATGTTAAAGATTTTAACGAGAATTCTGCTTATTTCTAGATGAATTATCCAATAGAATGTACTTGAAAAGTTTGAGCGCTCATAAAAACTAGTTTGGCACCTCCACATGGCATTGATGTGATGTCTGATAATTAATGACTGACTCAATATCAAATTTATTACTTCATAATTCTAATCAGACATCTGTAATTTTAAGAGACATATTAACAAATATTAAATATGGTGTAGCATTCTTCATTTTTCATTGGTTATTACGATCACATTATTCAAAGGGTATTCCATGTACCTGAAGCCTAAATTCTATTTTTAAGAATATGGACTCTATGTTTCTATTTATATATATATATATATATATTGACAGTCAATATTAAAAATCTTGCAAAATACAATGTAAAATACACAGAAAGAACATCTCCATAATACACTTTTTACATATGTAATATATAAATTAAGGACTTTCACTCAGTCAATACGTTATAAATGGACCTGTTGGATTATATTGACACTCAGACCTTGCCCTCAGTTAATATAATCTGAAAAGGCCGCGTCAAAAGTCCATAATTGATAAACAATACATGAATCCAACTTGAAATGGTCTAAAAAGTGTACTTACTAGAACTCTGTCAGAATCCATTATTGTATTCAGTCTGTGAGCTATGGTTAACACAGTACAGTATCTAAACTTCTCTCGAATTGTATTCTGTATCAGTGCATCAGTTCTGAAAAATTCAAATAATATTTAATAAAGGCATTGCTTTGTCTTGCCTGCAGTGAATGTCATAATGAGAGACATATGTATGAGATGGCACTGATGCTTATCACTCATTTTATAAATCTTAATATTTTAGAAGACAGAAGACATGTCATACTTTTGTGCACATAAATTGTCTGTTTATAAAGTAAGAAATGATAAAATAAAATGCTCCGCAGGGCGCAGCTTGATACGACCGCAGAGGTCGAACCCTGAACAGTTGGGGCAAGTATGGACACAACATTCAAGCTTGATACAGCTCTGAATTTGGATTGTGATTAAATATTTGACACAGCATAGGTTTCTGACACAGAATGAATGTGGTCTAAGAACTTAAAAATTTTAAATTGGACATTCACCTATTATGGTTCAATATCCAAAATCTAAATACATGGTTAGATTCAGCATATCAAAGAACCCCAAGAATTCAATTTTTGATGAAATCAAACAAAGTTTAATTTTGGACCCTTTTGATCTCAATGTGGACAAAAATGATAACAGGGCCCAAAAATCAAAAATCTAAATACATAGTTAGATTCAGCATATCAAAGAACCCCATATATTCAATTTTTGTTGAAATCAAACAAAGTTTAATTTTGGACCCCGATTTGGACCAACTTGAAAACTGGGCCCATAATCAAAAATCTAAATACATGTTTAGATTCAGCATATCAAAGTATCCCTAAAAATTCATTTTTGTTAAAATCAAACTAAGTTTAATTTTGGACCCTTTGGACCTTTATGTAGACCAATTTGAAAACGGAACCAAAAATTAAGAATCTAAATACACGGTTAGATTTGGCATATCAAAGAACCCCAATAATTCAATTTTTGATGAAATCAAACAAAGTTAAATTTTGGACCCTTTGGACTTCAATGTGGACCAATTTAAAAACGGGGCCCAAAATCCAAAAACTTAATACACGGTTAGATTCAGCATATTACAGAACCCCATATATTCAATTTTTGTTGAAATCAAACAAAGTTTAATTTTGGACCCCGATTTGGACCAACTTGAAAACTGGGCCCATAATCAAAAATCTAAATACATGGTTAGATTCAGCATATCAAAGAACCCCATATATTCAATTTTTGTTGAAATCAAACAAAGTTTAATTTTGGACCCCGATTTGGACCAACTTGAAAACTGGACCCATAATCAAAAATCTAAATACATGGTTAGATTCAGCATATCAAAGAACCCCATATATTCAATTTTTGATGAAATCAAACAAAGTTTAATTTTGGACCCTTTTGATCTCAATGTGGACAAAGTTGATAACGGGGCCCAACAATCAAAAATCTAAATACATGGTTAGATTCAGCATATCAAAGAACCCCATATATTCAATTTTTGTTGAAATCAAACAAAGTTTAATTTTGGACCTCGATTTGGACCAACTTGAAAACTGGGCCCATAATCAAAAATCTAAATACATGGTTAGATTCAGCATATCAAAGAACCCCATATATTCAATTTTTGTTGAAATCAAACAAAGTTTAATTTTGGACCCCGATTTGGACCAACTCGAAAACTGGGCCCATAATCAAAAATCTAAATACATGGTTAGATTCAGCATATCAAAGAACCCCATATATTCAATTTTTGTTGAAATCAAACTAAGTTTAATTTTGGACCCTTTGGACCTTTATGTAGACCAATTTGAAAACAGAACCAAAAATTAAGAATCTAAATACACGGTTAGATTCGGCATATCAAAGAACCCCAATAATTCAATTTTTGATGAAATCAAACAAAGTAAAATTTTGCACCCTTTGGACCTCAATGTGGACCAATTTAAAAACGGGGCCCAAAATCCAAAAACTTAATACATGGTTAGATTCAGCATATTAAAGAACCCCAAGAATTCAAGAATAAAACCCCATTGAAATTGATCAAGAAATAAGCAATTTATACGAAGTATCTTCTTTTGCACAATACTGTGCAATTGATTATTTCTTGCTATTGTGCAATACTGTACAATTGACAATTTCTTGCTATTGCGCAATATTGTGCTATTGGATATTTCTTGCTATTGCGCAATACTGTGCAATTGAAGATTTCTTGCTATTGCGCAATACTGTGCAATTGAAGATTTCTTGCTATTGTGCAATACTGTGCAATTGAAAATTTCTTGCTATTGCACAATACTTATTATATAATAATTTACACATCCTGTTTGGTGTGTATCTCCTACCATATCATTATTATTTGCTTTTAAATATAAATCAGAAATAACCAACTTAAAATGGAAAATTTTAAAAGAAAAATAAAAGGAAAAAAAGAAAAAAAAAAGAAAAAAAAAAATCCCCCCCCAAAATTTTTTGAACCCCCTTATGATTCATCACCCCCAAACTCAATCTCAGCCTTCCCTTTGTGGTATGGTACCTTGCAGTACAATTTCAGAGAGATCCATACACTTGAACACAAGTTATTGTCTGGAAACTAGAAAAATGCTTATTTTTGGCCCCTTTTTGGCCCCCAATTCCTAAACGTTTCGGGCAATTACCCCCAAACTCAATTCCAGCTTTCCCTTTGTGATATGGAACCTTGTAGTACAATTTCAGAAATATCCAAACACTTACACACAAGTTATTGTCATGAAACTAGAAAAATGCTTGTTTTTTGCCCCTTTTTTGGCCCCTAATTCCTAACATTTTGAGGCAATTACCCCCAAAATCAATTACAGCCTTCCCTTTGTGATATGGAACCTTGTGGTACAATGTCAGAGAGATCCATACACTTACACACAAGTTATTGTCTGGAAGTTACAAAAATGCTTATTGTTGGCCCCTTTTTGGCCCCTAATTCCTTAACTGTTGGTACCATAACCCCCAAAATCAATCCCAACCTTCCTTTCATGGTATTGAACCTTATGGTAAAATTTCATGGAGATCCATTCACTTAAACTAAAGTTAGAGTGCGAAAACCAATGTGTCTTCGGACGACGCCAGACGACGCCGGACGCCGACGACGACGACGACGACAACGACGACGACGACGACGACGACGCCAACGTCATACCAATATACGACCAAAAAATTTTCAATTTTTGCGGTCGTATAAAAACTAAGGTTTCAACTCCCTCAGGCAAAATTAACCTTGGATGGATTTTGTTTATTTTTTTAAGTCCTTTAAGGCCATTTAGCTCTGCAACTTTTTCGTTCTCATACATCCTTGGCTTTCAAATATTCGGCTTTGAGTGTTCCTGATGAAGGTTAATCCAGAAAAGCAACTCAGATGCATGAAATTTTGAAGTGTTGTTTTCATTTTTTAAAGAATAAAATCTCCTCTGTATATATAGAGTTACAATACCTTGGATCTACATTAGCTGTAGCCTCATCAATCATCAATATCTTATTTCTACGTAGAATAGCTCTGGCTAAACAGATCAATTGTCGTTGTCCCACACTAAAGTTTATCCCTCCTTCAGAAACCTCAGTTTCCAACTGGCTAGGAAGTTCTTCAATGGCTGGTTTTAGCTGTACCTATTTCAAATCAAAGCAAACAGATGTTGATGAAAAATTAAGCATTATATAAATTCTTTTTTCCATGCTTACAAAGTTTTCCAAAGATTATTTTCTTGAAATTTTGATCAGTTTCATTCTACTTTTTTCCATAAAAAAAATTAAACCAAAATGTTTTTTTTCCAATTTTTAGAATTTTAGCACATATTTACAACATTTATCAGTATAAGTCTATTTTTTTCTAAGGGTGAAGAAAAAGATTCTATGATGAAAGCAGCATTGGGATGGTGATTTCAAGCTTAATCATCAACATCAATGACAATGCTATTACACATACCTCCTCCAGGGCACTCCATAATGAGGAATCTGTGTGTTCACCAAATGGATCTAAATTTTTTCTCAATGATCCAGTGAAAAGGACAGGATCCTGTAAAAAAAAAAAGTGTAAATCAAATTTCTATAGTAGAAATAATTCAAATAATAAAGGTTCTTCTAAAAAAAAAAACCATATGAACAACAGGAGATGCTGAGAAAATGTCAATGAGACAGGAAACCAGCAAAGTCAAAATACTCAACTTTATATAAAACGTCTTCTTTAATTTTATTTATTGAAATGAAACAGAAGGGTGGTAGTTTTGAATGTCATGAAAGCCCTATTTTTTTTTTTTACCTTTTTTTTTGATAAATTTTGTCTTAAAATTTAAAATTTCAAAATTATGTATTTGTACTAAAACTAAGGTTGCAACTCCATCAGGCAGAGTCTGTTTTATTTGGCTTTCAACTTTTATTTCAGGTTTACAAGAAGAAAGTTATACCATATCCACACAGAAATTGGTATCAAACAAATCAATTCAAATATCAAGAAAATTGGGAATACTTCTTCAGTTCTTCCATTCTAGACTTCAGTATTTTAAATTTGCAATTTATCATGCAGATAAAATATAAAGTTGAATTTAAACCAATAAAGAGACTAATTTTGCAATCAAGGTTGCATAGAAAAATCTGTGGGAAGGTGAAAAATAAGCTAATATTAAGTAAAAAAAAAAAAAAGCACTGTATCAAGAAAAGAATAAATCAGCAAAAAAAGATCGAAAATAAACAAGCATTCTGAGAGCATTGCATGGCAATACATAGTCCCCTACCGGTTAAGAATTAATTGTACTGGAACAAAATGCTAACTTGATCTATAACTTTTAATATAACTTGATATGGTGTAAACTATACAACAAATGTCAAGTCAATATCTTCAAGCATGACGAAAAAAAGTGTGGAAAACTAATGGAGTGAATTTTTAAGTCCAAGGACCATAACTCTACACAAAATCATTAGACCAGAACAAATAAAATGCTCCGCAGGGCTCAGCTGGATACCTTTGGACCTCAATGTGGACCAATTTAAAAACAGGGCCCAAAATCCAAAAACTTAATACACGGTTAGATTCGGCATATTAAAGAACCCCAAGAATTCAAGAATAAAACCCCATTGAAATTGGTCAAGAAATAAGCAATTTATACGAAGTATCTTCTTTTGCACAATACTGTGCAATTGAATATTTCTTGCTATTGCGCAATACTGTACAATTGACAATTTCTTGCTATTGCGCAATATTGTGCTATTGGATATTTCTTGCTATTGCGCAATATTATGCAATTGAAGATTTCTTGCTATTGCGCAATACTGTGCAATTGAAGATTTCTTGCTATTGTGCAATACTGTGCAATTGAAAATTTCTTGCTATTGCACAATACTTATATAATAATTTACACATCCTGTTTGGTGTGTATCTCCTACCATATCATTATTATTTGCTTTTAAATATAAATCAGAAATAACTAACTTAAAATGGAAAATTTTAAAAGAAAAAAAAAAGGAAAAAAAGAAAAATAAAATGCTCCGCAGGGCGCAGCTTGATACGACCGCAGAGGTCGAACCCTGAACAGTTGGGGGAAGTATGGACACAACATTCAAGCTTGATACAGCTTTGGATTTGGATTGTGATTAAATATTTGACACAGCATAGGTTTCTAACACAGATTGAATGTGGTCTAAGAACTTAAAAATTTTAAATTGGACATTCACCTATTATGGTCCAATATCCAAAATCTAAATACATGGTTAGATTCAGCATATCAAAGAACCCCAAGAATTCAATTTTTGATGAAATCAAACAAAGTTTAATTTCGGACCCTTTTGACCTCAATGTGGACAAAGTTGATAACGGGGCCCAAAAATCAAAAATCTAAATACATGGTTAGATTCAGCATATCAAAGAACCCCATATATTCAATTTTTGTTGAAATCAAACAAAGTTTAATTTTGGACCCCGATTTGGACCAACTTGAAAACTGGGCCCATAATCAAAAATCTAAATACATGTTTAGATTCAGCATATCAAAGAACCCTAAGAATTCAATTTTTGTTAAAATCAAACTAAGTTTAATTTTGGACCCTTTGGACCTTAATGTAGACCAATTTGAAAACGGAACCAAAAATTAAGAATCTAAATACACGGTTAGATTCGGCATATCAAAGAACCCCAATAATTCAATTTTTGATGAAATCAAACAAAGTTTAATTTTGGACCCTTTTGACCTCAATGTGGACAAAGTTGATAACGGGGCCCAAAAATCAAAAATCTAAATACATGGTTAGATTCAGCATATCAAAGAACCCCATATATTCAATTTTTGTTGAAATCAAACAAAGTTTAATTTTGGACCCCGATTTGGACCAACTTGAAAACTGGGCCCATAATCAAAAATCTAAATACATGTTTAGATTCAGCATATCAAAGAAACCTAAGAATTCAATTTTTGTTAAAATCAAACTAAGTTTAATTTTGGACCCTTTGGACCTTAATGTAGACCAATTTGAAAACGGAACCAAAATTTAAGAATCTAAATACACAGTTAGATTCGGCATATCAAAGAACCCCAATAATTCAATTTTTGATGAAATCAAACAAAGTTTAATTTTGGACCCTTTGGACCTCAATGTGGACCAATTTAAAAAACGGGGCCCAAAATCCAAAAACTAAATACACGGTTATATTCAGCATATTAAAGAACCCCATGAAATCAAGAATAAAACCCCATTGAAATTGGTCAAGAAATAAGCAATTTATAGGAAGTATCTTCTTTTGCACAATCCTGTGCTATTAAATATTTCTTGCTATTGCGCAATACTGTACAATTGACAATTTCTTGCTATTGCGCAATATTGTGCTATTGGATATTTCTTGCTATTGCGCAATACTGTGCAATTGAAGATTTCTTGCTATTGCGCAATACTGTGCAATTGAAGATTTCTTGCTATTGTGCAATACTGTGCAATTGAAAATTTCTTGCTATTGCACAATACTTATTATATAATAATTTACACATCCTGTTTGGTGTGTATCTCCTACCATATCATTATTATTTGATTTTAAATATAAATCAGAAATAACCAACTTAAAATGGAAAATTTTATAAGAAACAAAAAAGGAAAAAAAGAAAAAAAAGGAAAAAAAAATAAATCCCCCCCCCAAATTTTTTGAACCCCCATTATGATTCATCACCCCCAAACTCAATCCCAGCCTTCCCTTTGTGGTATGGTACCTTGCAGTACAATTTCAGAGAGATCCATACACTTGAACACAAGTTATTGTCTGGAAACTAGAAAAAAATGTGTTTTTTGGCCCCTTTTTGGCCCCAAATTCCTAAACGTTTAGGGCAATTACCCCCGAACTCAAACCCAGCTTTCCCTTTGTGATATGGAACCTTGTAGTACAATTTCAGAAAGATCCATACACTTACACACAAGTTATTGTCATGAAACTAGAAAAATGCTTGTTTTTTGCCCCTTTTTTGGCCCCTAATTCCTAAAATTTGGAGGCAATTACCCCCAAAATCAATCCCAGCATTCCTTTAGTGATATGGAACCTTGTGGTACAATGTCAGAGAGATCCATACACTAACACACAAGTTATGTCTGGAAGTTACAAAAATGCTTATTTTTGGCCCCTTTTTGGCCCCTAATTCCTTTACTGTTATTACCATAACCCCCAAAATCAATCCCAACCTTCCTTTTGTGGTATTGAACCTTGTTGTAAAATTTCATAAAGATCCATTCCCTTAAACTAAAGTTAGAGTGCGAAAACCAATGTGTCTTCGGACGACGACGACGACGCCGGACGACGACGACGCCAACGTCATACCAATATACGACCACAAAAATTTTTTTGCGGTCGTATAAAAAGGAAAAAAAAAATCCCCCCCCCCCAAATTTTTTGAACCCCCTTATGATTCATCCCCCCAAACTCAATCCCAGCCTTCCCTTTGTGGTATGGTACCTTGCAGTACAATTTCAGAGAGATCCATACACTTGAACACAAGTTATTGTCTGGAAACCAGAAAAATGCTTATTTTTGGCACCTTTTTGGCCCCCAATTCCTACACGTTTCGGGCAATTACCCCCAAACTCAATTCCAGCTTTCCCTTTGTGATATGGAACCTTGTAGTACAATTTCAGAAATATCCAAACACTTACACACAAGTTATTGTCATGAAACTAGAAAAATGCTTGTTTTTTGCCCCTTTTTTGGCCCCTAATTCCCAAAATTTTGAGGCAATTACCCCCAAAATCAATTCCAGCCTTCCCTTTGTGATATGGAACCTTGTGGTACAATGTCAGAGAGATCCATACACTTACACACAAGTTATTGTCTGGAAGTTACAAAAATGCTTATTTTTGGCCCCTAATTCCTTAACTGTTGGTTCCATAACCCCCAAAATCAATCCCAACCTTCCTTTTGTGGTATTGAACCTTATGGTAAAATTTCATAGAGATCCATTCACTTAAACTAAAGTTATAGTGCGAAAACTAATGTGTCTTCGGACGACGACGACGCCAACGTCATACCAATATACGACCGCAAAAATTTTGCAGTCGTATAAAAACCAACTTGATCTGTAACATGTCATGATAAAACTATATACTAATTATTAAATCAATATCTTCAAGCATGACAAAAAAAAGTGCCGAAAACTGATTATTTGAGTGAAGTCCAAGAACCATAACTCTGCAAAAAATCATCAGACCGGAACATAATTCGAACTTGATTTGTAACTTGTCATGTTAAAACTATATACTAAATTTCAAATCAATATCTCCAAGCATGAAGAAAAAAAGTGTGGAAAACTGATTTGCTGGACTGACGGACAGACAGACAGACAGACAGACAGACAGACAGACAGACGGAGTGCAAACCTAAAGTTCCCTTCAACTTCGTCGGTAGGGGACTAATTAAACACACAAACATACCTGTGGTATAATAGAGATCTTGTTCCTGAGCTCATGTAGACCTATGTCGACAATATTAACATCATCTATCATCACTTTTCCTTCTGGTTCTATCATTCTAAATAACATAGCAATTAATGAACTCTTACCAGCACCAGTTCTACCCACAATTCCAATCTGCAATCATATTACATCAATTTATAATCACATCAATTTTCATGGCTTGCATTTATGATCATATATCTGGGATTATAAGGAAAGGGGGGGAGGGAGTTATTCATAGTTCTGCCATAGTCTGAAATAGCCAAAAACACTGCATACTTCTCCCATTAATTTTTATGTTTTCTTTACTAGTCTTTTTTTATTTATTTTTTTCAAAACTGAGTCTGTGAACAAAAAAAACTTTTATAAAACAATCACAAATATAACACTAAAACATTTTTCATTATTTTTTCACAAAAGTTTATCACATTTAAATCTTTTAAACTTTTATAAACAACCTCCAATTTTCCATGGCAGATAGAACTTTTAAAATAATATATGACATGAGAACTATAAATTCTGAAATTATTGAGAATTTTCTATTGATCCAAAATGATTACCGTATTAATCATAATATACATTTTATTCCTTTACTGATATTTTCAGGTTTGAATCAATTTATTATTGCCTTTTTCAAAACAAAAAATCCTCACAAACAAATATTCCTTTTAATTTTTAATTTTACAAATATTGCACCTACCTTTTCTTTGCTATCTATACAAAACTTTAAGTACTTTAAGACCATTGGACCTGTATCAGAATATCTCAAGCAGACCTTTTCACCAGTTATCTTTCCATGGACTGGCCAGTCTGGTGGGGGTTTGTGGTCCTTGTCTGAAGTTAGTTCAGCTTCACTGGGCAATTTGGAATACTGCATCACTCTCTCAACTGATATCATCTGCAAACAAAAGAAATATAACATCAAAAATGAGAGTATATATATATTTTTTATTTCTTCAAAATTTCCATAATTTTTCATTTCATTTTTTTAAGACTTAATTTGTAAATTTGGATATTTTATGAAATACCAGACATTCATACCCTGTGTACAGCATATAATAAAATGCTCCGCTGGGGCGCAGCTTGATACGACCGCAGAGGTCGAACCTTGAACAGTTGGGGAAAGTATGGACACAACATTCAAGCTTGATACAGCACTGAATTTGGATTGTAATTAAATATTTGACACAGCATAGGTTTCTCACACAGAATGAAAGTGGTCTAAGAACTTAAAAATTTGTAATTTACCTATTCAAACCATATCATTATTATTTGCTTTTATATATAATTCAGAAATAACCAATTTAAAATAGAAAATTTTAAAGAAAAAAGAAGGAAAAAAAATCCCCCCCCCAAATTTTTTGAACCCCCTTATGATTCATCACCCCCAAACTCAATCCCAGCTTTCCCTTTGTGGTATGGTACCTTGCAGTACAATTTCAGAGAGATCCATACACTTGAACACAAGTTATTGTCTGGAAACTAGAAAAATGCTTATTTTTGGCCCCTTTCTGGCCCCTTATTCCTAAACTTTTTGGGCAATTACCCCCAAACTCAATGCCAGCTTTTCCTTTGTGATATGGAACCTTGTAGTACAATTTCCTAAAGATCCATTCACTTACACACAAGTTATTGTTATGAAACTAGAAAAATGCTTGTTTTTTTCCCCTTTTTGGACCCTTATTCCTAAAATTTGGAGGCAATTACCCCCAAAATCAATCCCAGTATTCCCTTTGTGATATGGAACCTTGTGATACAATGTCAGAGAGATCCATACACTCACACACAAGTTATTGTCATGAAACTAGAAAAATGCTTGTTTTTCGCCCCTTTTTGGCCCCTAATTCCTAAAATTTGGAGGCAATTACCCCCAAAATCAATCCCAGCATTCCCTTTGTGATATGGAACCTTGTGGTACAATGTCAGAGAGATCCATACACTTACACACAAGTTATGTCTGGAAGTTACAAAAAATGCTTATTTTTGGCCCCTTATTCCATAACCCCCAAAATCAATCCCCACCTTCCTTTTGTGGTATTGAACCTTATGGTAAAATTTCTTGAGATCCATTCACTTAAACTAAAGTTAGAGTGCGAAAACTAATGTGTCTTCGGACGACGACGACGACGCCAACGTCATACCAATATACGACCACAAAAATTTTTTTGCGGTCGTATAAAAAGGTCATTATCAATAAATGGCATATTCAAAGCAAATTTTCTGGTTTTGTGATTATTCATGAAACATCAAGAATGAGAGATCAACATTTTTGAGACAAGAATATTTTGACTAAATTGTTTTAAGTATAAACCTTAATACTAAATAGAATTGAGAATGGAAACACGTAATGTGTTCAAGAGACAACAACCTGACCAAAGAGCAGAAAACACCAATGGGTCTTCAACGCAGCGAGAAAATCCTGCACCCGGAGGTGGCTTCAGCCGGCCCGTAAATAACTATAGAACTACAAACCTGATTTTCTACTTCAGCACTTTGTCTGACTGCCCACTGGAACATTCCCATCAATGTCATAGCATAAGTTAGAGTAAGTCCTACCCTTCCTGCATCCAGAGCTGAAAAAAATTTGTATTGAGAAAATTTTCCAGTAATGCAACATCATTTCTGATTTTTTTAATTCTTGTAGGATTGATTGATTATTGTTTTCTTAATTTCAAGTGGCAAATATTTTATGCATATATATTAAGGACAGTATCTTTCTTGAAGCAAACAAAAATAAACTATATTTAGATTGTATGAAAACTGGATCAGAGACCAATTTTTAATCTCAAATTGGGTTTGACTGGTTTATATATGAAATTCACTTTTCATCTGGATGCTGAAGGCATGATATTATACTACTTGATATCAAAACTTTTGATAAGCAGCTGCGATTTACTGTAAGACACAAGATTATACTTATGAGTCCTAACAAATAAGTAAAGACATGTTCCCATTGAAAGATGATCACATTTTTCGACTGGAAGTAAATCACTAGGATTCTCATTTTTCTGACATCCTTTGAGGCAGTCTGAAAGCTACAAACACTTTTCATCTCTCTATTTTATTTCATACTAACATATTATAAAACTTTAAGAATATTTAACTTACAATCAGCTAAAACAACACATAAGAATGCCACTATTGTAACAAATACAGCACACATCCAATCAAGTCGTACTGCTAACCATCTACTGGTAGCCAGAAACAGGAACCAGGCTTCTGTGTGCAGGTTCTGGTGGTTGTCAAATTCCTCCTGAAACTTATCTTGTACTCCAAAGGCTCTAATTGTATGTAATCCTTGTAAGGAAGCACTTAGATGGGAAAATACTGGGCTTCTTGCTAGAAAATATAATTTTCAACGTACTATTATACTCTTTTTACAATTATAAAGTCTCCTGAAGTATATTATAAGGAGGTTATTATATGCAAATTGTCAAGAGGAATAATAATATCTATAGTTTAGGGGCAATGGTTAAGACTTTTTTTCTTTTTTTAAAGCAAGACATTCAGGTTTAATGTTCATGTTTATTTGATTATTTTTTTCATAATTAACGACACATTCTAGCTTTACTTACAAAATGAGTTTTCAACAAATTTAAAATGGGAAAAGAAAGGTTGTCAGAAGGCACTTCAATTGTAATACTTGATGATCAGTGTTTATTTCTTTATAAGATCCAAATTTAAAGATATAAAGATCAATTAAAATCTTATGCATCATGGAATAAAATACAAGATTCTTTGAAACCCCTATTTTCTCTAAATTAATATTATTTTTGGTAACTCCCTGATTAATTGCATAATCATTCATAAACAATCTACCAATCACTTACTTGTTCCCTCTAATCTTTTAATGTGTCGAGATGTCATAATATAATATCTTCTCACAACGACAAACAGTATTCCTATTGGTATGAGTGGTATAAATACCCATGGAAGCACTATTCCAACAACAACTACTATACCAACAATTAGGAGAAAACACTACAAAAAATATATCAATATATACAGAGTAAGCACAAATGGAGTTGTGATATACAAACACTACCATATTATTTGTTCACTGTAGAAACATTAATTTTTATGGTTGTGTCTCTAAATTTGATTTTTCATGGTTTCCAGCATGGGAAAAGTAATATTCTATGTAGGTTAAAATTTTGTGGATATACATATGCAAAAAGAAGGCAAAATGATCAAATATGGATTGTGGATTTGTTGTTCAATATACATGTCCAGTACAAGGAAATTTGTATCATACGTATTTTACTACCACTGAATAGGCTATTTCTATAATCATGTCTTTCACCGGAAAAGACGTCATTTACCAGATAAAAGGCGCGCCTGTATCCCTGCACTATTAAAGTTTCTAGCACTTTCAAAATCGTCATTCTGTGCGCCTGTATCCCTGCACTATTAAAGTTTCTAGCACTTTCAGAATCGTCATTCTGCAGGGTAGTCTAGAAATAATTTCTGTTCCGTAATCTTAATTCCCGTATGACTGAAGGGAGGGTGACCAATTTATTAGATTTTAATTTTCCCAAATATTTTGTGCAGTCTAAGATCAAACTTTTTCACCCGTTCCCTCAACATGTGTTGGAAGTGACGATGCCTACAATTTGGTCACATGACAGATTCAACTAACTACCATATCCCGGAACTGGCGTATTGGTACTGCTGCTGGTGGACTGCTAGTGCCCAAAGGAAATATAGCCAGTGATTCCATGCTGGCAAGATTTTTTAAAATGATACATGTTAACTGTAAGTTTCCAGTTCATGAATCATGAAATTGTACTAAACCAAGGCTGCAACTCCCTCAGGCAAGGCTGCTTGGAAATCAGTATCATACAGCCTTATGTTCCATAACTAAGGTTGTATATATTCCTCAGACAAAACTGACCTTAGGCTTTGGCTGTCCTGTTAAGGCTGTTTTGGTTCTATGCTCTGCACACATTTATATTTTTTGACTTCAAGACTTCAAGTCTCAAGCATACATGATAAAGGTTTTTTTAAGGAATATGTGTTGTGCCCATGATGTTTTGTCAAAGGTTGACAGATCTATGGATAGAATGACTTTCATAAGCATCTAAATATTAGGAAGGAAAAAAATCATCCTTTGTACTGACAAGATATCTATGAGATTAATTATCACTTGCCTGTATAAAGTCAAACAGTGTAATGGGAAGAAGGTCGTCCATGTGCCCTGTATCTTTAGAAAATCTATTTAATATTCGACCTACAAAAAATGTGTTTTATTTACTTTACACAGAAACAGTTTGACATGAAAATAAAATAAATTGCTTCACTGAGCGCAGCTGGATATGACCGCAGAGGTCAACCCTGAACAGTTGGGGCAAAAATGGACACAATATTCGCGCTTGATACAGGTCTGAATTTGGATTGTAATTCAATATTTGACACATAATAGGTTTCTGACACAGAATAACTGTAGAATAGGTTATATGATTTGAATTTATATTCAATTTTTTGCTTTTGTGCAATACACTTTGCTGTTGCAAATTGACCCTCCCCCCCTTCTTTTTCAAAAAAAATCCCCCCCCCCCCCTTTAAAAAAAAAAAAAAAAAAAATATTTTAAGAAATTTTCTTTTTGATTTCTGAAATCTTGAGGAGAAAAAAATTGTCCCCAACCCCCACCACCAATTTTTTTTTAACCTCCCCCCCCCCTTTCCAAAAAAAAATTATTTCCCTCAAGATATGGTCATAATCTCAATTCAAATTTCCAATGGAGTTTGCAACCATAATAACCCATTTAAATACATCATATAAGTCTTAAAATAGAAAATGACATACATAATCATGGCTAAAATTAATATACCTTAATCAGCATTTTTAAAATTATCAAAATAGTAACTTCTAAAAATAAATTGACAGCTAATCACCTCAAGACAATACAACATTTCTTTATACATGATTTAAAAGCAGTGTAAGGGAGGTAATTCAAACACAACATTGTACTTAAGTAATTGTCCATTAACCAGGACACCCTTGTTTTTTCTCACTTTTTTGCCCCTTATTCCTAAACGGTTTGAGCCATAACCCCCCAAAGCCAATCATAACCATCCCTTTGTGGTATGGAAACTTGTGGTATAGTTTCAGAGAGATCCATACACCATTCCACAAATTATTGTCTGGAAACTAGAAAAATGCTTATTTGGGCCCCTTTTTGGCCCCTATTTCCTAAACTGTTGGGACCATAACACCCAAAATCAATCCCAACCTTCCTTTTGTAGTTATAAACCCTGTGTTTAAATTTCATAGATTTCTATTTACTGATACTAAAGTTATTGTCCGGAAACCAGATGTCTTCGGACGACGACGACATGATACCAATATACGACCGCAAAATTTTTTGCAGTCATATAAAAATCTGAATTTTATAATCAATTCGAAAAAAATTTTTTGGTAGCAATCTTGTTATCAAGGTAGGCATAATGGCAGTCTTCTGTTTGTTTTTTTCATTGAAAAATAAATAAGCAAAGTAATTTACAAGATATAATCTATTTTGCAAGGATCCTTAGCTCTATTACATGTATTTTCAAATATCTTATAAACTTTTAATATGTTTTTTAATTGCAATGGTTTTCTATTCTGATAATGATTATTTTTCATGCTCATTTATGAATCAAAATTATGAAAACAAGAGTTGGTTTGGATAAGTGTTATTGTATATAACTGGCACCTTGCGAATAAATTCAAAGTACATACCAACTGGATTTGTGTCAAAGAAGCTGATTGGAGAACGAAGTAGACTGTTGAACATCTTGTTGTGCATGTTCATAGAAGAATCTACAGCTACTTTGAAGAACATAAGAGCTCTAAGAAGACCAAACAGGAACACAGCTGCTATGATACCAGTAAAGATGTATACATTTTGATGTGTGTCCACAAAAGGGATAGTTACATTTGTAACATTATATCCCTGAAATCGTAATTCACTGTCCAGTGAAATGGCAGCATGCTTATTTTCTTCTTTATTTGACCTATAAAATAGAATTCATGAATTACGTGATGTTCTTAAGCAATGGAGACAAATTTACATCCATAATACTGTTTTAGTATCAGCTTTTTTTGTTGTTGAAAACAAGTACACATAGATTAAGCAGGTAATACACTTCATTTAAAAATTTTAAAAGAACTTCTGTTTCAGATTTTAGGTATTCTATTCTTGTTTGTGGATTATACTTCTTACTTACATGTACCCCTTCCACTGGAAAAAAAAACACTCATTAAAAACTGACTTAAAGATGCATTTCACACACTAAAATTGATAAATTGTTTTTCCAACTATTCATTCAAGAGTGTATTTGACACTTACCATAAAGCTAACCACCAATCACTCATCACATACAGTCTTTGGGTTAATGACACTTACCATAAAGCTAACCACCAATCACTCATCACATACAGTCCTTGGGTTATTGACACTTACCATAAAGCTAACCACCAATCACTCATCACATAGAGTCCTTGGGTTATTGACACTTACCATAAAGCTAACCACCAATAACTCATCACATAGAGTCCTTGGGTTATTGACACTTACCATAAAGCTAACCACCAATCACTCATCACATACAGTCCTTGGGTTATTGACACTTACCATAAAGCTAACCACCAATCACTCATCACATACAGTCCTTGGGTTATTGACACTTACCATAAAGCTAACCACCAATCACTCATAACATACAGTCCTTGGGTTAATAAGTTCAGTAACAGCAAAATAATAAACTTAAAGGGACCACAACCATTTCTGAGCCATTCATAATAAACTCTCCATCCTACAGTGCCTTCCTGTCTCTCTTCTTCTTCTGGTAGTTGTACTGGGTCAGGCTGCAAAGTAAAATAATGTAAAATTTACTGGATTTGGCTGCACAGTAAAATAATGTAAAATGTACTGGATCTTGCTGTAATTTAAAAGAATGTAAAATGTACTGGATCCTGATGTAATGTAAAGGACGTAAAATGTACTGGATGCGGCTGTAATGTAAAAGAAAGTAAAATGTACTGGATCTGATGACAAAAGTAAATGAAGGTAAAATAAACTGTCATGCTTAAATATAATGAATGTACAAAGTACTTGATCTGGCTATAATGTAAAAGAATGAAAAATGTACTGGACTGGCTATTATATAAAAGAATGAAAAATGTACTGGACTGGCTATTATATAAAAGAATGTAAGATGTACTGGACTGGCTATTATATAAAAGAATGAAAAATGTACTGGACTGGCTATTATATAAAAGAATGTAAAATGTACTGGACTGGCTATTATGTAAAAGAATGAAAAATGTACTGGACTGGCTATTATATAAAAGAATGAAAAATGTACTGGACTGGCTATTATATAAAAGAATGTAAAATGTACTGGATCTGGTTGTAATATAACATGATGTATAAGCACTGGGTGTGTCTGTTATGTAATGGAATCCAGACAGCATCTAGTCATATTCATGGGGATTTCCATAATGAGAGGTTTTATAAGTCCCCTTGTGCTTAAATCCTTCATTGAGATTTTGAAAAGTTGGCAGTTAAATGCAACTATAATATAACAAGATATAGTATTACTTGATTTTCTTGTACTGAAAGAATCTAGCTGTAATGTTACAGAATATTAATGTTACAGACTCTTAAAATCAAATAACTATGAGAGTAATAATACAGAGAACTTTTTGTTCCATATTATTTCAAGAAGAGCCTACTATAAAGGTGATTCTAATATGATGTTATCTTTTCACTTGGTGGTATGTTTCTTGTAAGTACAAAATAAAGCATAACAAATTATAATATTGACATCATTATACCTTTTGCGAACAAAAACGTCATTAGTTTGTTAATGGCATCGTCTAATGTAACGAAAATTCTAATGATTTTTTTTTTTTTTCATTTTCTTTTTTGAATTGAACTAATTTATGGCACTGTGATATCAAAGGAGAAGGTCAGGTAAGGGCTAATTTTGGCTTAAATTTGAAGTACATCTGATGAAAGATTTTTTACACTTTAAAAACTTAAGTGTCTACTTCAGTCGATTCAATTAGTTTTTTGTAAAAGATTTGAACTGATTTGATAATTAAAGACGCTCAAATTCAAGCTTAAATATGAAAAATCTATCAAGTATGCCATAAAACGTGACTTTTCAGATGGTTTTTGTCTAAAATGAAAGTAGCCGCATTTGTGTTCAGAGTCAACCTTTATATATGTTATGTAATATCACCAAGTACAACATATATTTAAATATTAAGACTGAACACAAGTGAGGCCACTTCCATTTAAGACAAAAACCGTCTAAAAATAGCACAAATGTTAAAATTGTGAAGATTTCAGTAATTTTGCAGGAATTAATGATGCTAGCACCGGGGTATCTGATGCATGTGCATTGTATTGTCAAAAACAGCCAATATTTATGTAGCAAAAGTATTCTACTTTCCAATAAATAGCTAAAAGTTTACATTTTAACAAATTTGTAAAAATGCTATATTTTGGGGCCAAAAAGGGGTCTTACCAGACCTACTCCTTTTACTACTTCACTCAAAGAGAAAAACTAATTTTTAATTAATAAAACTAGTTTAAATCTGATTTACCTCAAATTCAGTTCCTATGGATGTCAAAGACATCATCGATCCTATATTTGCCAATTTGGCATTTTCTAAATGATAGCTGACTTCCTGGTGATGATCTTCTTCCTTTACTTCTTCGTCCTCTTTGTCTCGCTTCAGCAGAGAGGAGAAATCTATTCCCGATGTTGACATTTCATCAAATGTTCCTTGCCCTAAACATTTACCCTGAAAAAATTGAAATGTAATAATAAATTTGTGTAAACTTCTGGTATCAATACATAGAAGATCAAGAAATGTGAAAAATGAAACAAATACCTGAGTTGCAGAGGAATGTTACCACTTCACTATTTTTTAAAATGCATGCTTTGAATTTCAGCTTAATACCTTCAAAACCAACGATTTTCTATTTGTGAAATTTATTGTCCATCTATATTGCAATTGGAATCAAATGTTATCACATTTCTGTCAATACCAGAGAGAAAACCCTATGAATAAACTGATACATATATAAATATACATAAAGCATGCAATAATAAACTGATATTGGAATGTATAAAGATACCATTTTTTATAGTACCAAACCATATATGTTAATCCCGACTATTATCAATGCAATATCCAGGTTAGATAAAGGAGTCCAATGTATATGGAAGCGTGATTGCAAGATTTGCCTGTTGGCAAGAAGAATTGTTGCAAGGAGAAAAGAAATGGCTCTTCTTGTGAAAGTTAAAGAGGCTAATGATGATTTAAATGTTACAGTGAAAATAACACTTATACATGCATCCATCTCTTTTCTGGATTTACCTTCACCTGGAATGCTGAAAACCCCAAAATATAAAAGCAAAAGATTCATAAGACTGAAAATATGAAGATCAATATGACAATAAAGAGCTGCGCCATGAGCGCATGATACACCCGTTGCTTTTCAAAGAAAAAAGTTCCATTTCTCCTCAATGTCATATCAGAAATTTATAATAAATTGCTTCGCCGAGCGCAGCTGGATACGACAGCTGAGGTCCAACCCTGAACAGTTGGGGCAAAAATGGACACAATATTCGCGCTTGATACAGGTCTGAATTTGGATTGTAATTCAATATTTGACACATAATAGGTTTCTGATACAGAATAACTGTAGTCAAAGAACTTAGAATTGGTTATATGATTTGAATTTATATTCAAATTTTTTGCTTTTGTGAAATACACTATGCTGTTGCGAATTGACCCCCCCTAAAAAAAAAAAAAAATGTTTAACCCCCTTTTTTTTTGCTTTTGTGCAATACACTATGCTGTTGCGAATTGACACACCCCCCCCCCCCCCCCCCCCCCCCCTTTTCCAAAAAAAAAAAAATAAAATTTTTTTACCCCCCTTTTTTTTGCAAAAAAAACCCAATATTTGAAGAATTTTTCCAAAATCTGAAATGAGAAAAAATAGTCCCCCCCTCACAATTTCTTTTTTTACCCCCCCCCCCCCCCCCCAATTTTTTTCCAAAAAAAAAAATTCTTTCCCTCAAGATATGGTCATAATCTCAATTCAAATTTCCAATGGAGTTTGTAACCATAATTACCCATTTAAATACATCATAAAAGTCTTAAAATAGAAAATGACATATATAATCATGGCTAAAATTAATATCTTTAATCAGCATTTTCAAATAGTAACTTCTAAAAATAAATTGACAGCTAATCACCTCAAGACAATACAACATTTCTTTATACATAATTTAAAAGCAGTGTAAGGGAGGTAATCCAAACATAACATTGTACTTAAAAGTGATTGTCCATTACCAGGAAACCCTTGTTTTTCCCCCTTTTTTGCCACTAATTCCTAAACAGTTTGAGCCATAACCCCCCCAAAGCCAATCCTAACCATCCCTTTGTGGTATGGAAACTTATGGTATAATACCTTATAATAACTTATGGATCCATACACCATTCCACCAGTTATTGTCTGGAAACTAGAAAAATGCTTATTTGGGCCCCTTTTTGGCCCCTTATTCCTAAACTGTTAGGATTATAACCCCCAAAATCAATCACAACCTTCCATTTGTGGTTATTAACCTTGTGTTTAAATTTCATAGATTTCTATTCACATTTACTAAAGTTATTGTCCGGAAACCAAATGTCTTCACACGACGCTGACAATGTGATACCAATATACAACCCCAAATTTTTTGCGGTCGCATAAAAAACTAAAGGTAGGTTATTTTAATGGATTTAACCCAGTCACAAAAGTTTCATGAAAACAGCTCAAAGAACTTTTGAGTTATGTCAGAAAACTGGAAAATCCCCCTTTTTTAATGAATAAAACCCCATAAGTCAGAAATGTAAAATGTAAAATTTATAAAAATCAAAAGTGAGCTCATGTCAATAGATATAAACAATTCACCAAAGTTTCATGCAAATTGGTTAAAGCATTTTTGAATTATTGTCTGACATGTTGACAACCGATGGACAACGGTATACCATAATACGTCCCGTAAACGGGCGTATAAAAAGGGACCTAAAAAGAATAACCAAAATTCATCAAAGGTTAACTTTACCCGAGGGAGTTGGAACCTTGAATATATCATTATTTATCAATGGAGGATTTAAGACAAATAAATGTGGATTGTGTCCACATGTGGACACAGATGATGCCCCCACTTGCATATCATATAGTTATAAAGGGACATAACTAAAGAACGGTAAAAGTGACGCTACCCAAATTTGAACTTGATCTGAGTTTTGTGGTAAAAAGCATTGTGTGTAAGTCTCAACATTTGGTTGAGGCTAACTTAAGAAGAGAACAGAAACTAAAAATTCAGCAATTTTTCTATTTGTAAACACGCATAACTCTAGAACGGTTGTGTATAAGTTTTATAACATTTGGTTGAGACAAACTAAAGTTAGAGAACAGAAACGAAAAATTCAGCAATTTTTATGTTTATAAAGGGATATAACTCAAGAATGGTAAAAGTGACACCACCAAATTTCGTACTTAATCTGTATAATGTAGTAATAAGCATTGTGTATAAGTTTCATAACATTTGGTTGAGGCAAACTAAAGTTAGAGAACGGAAACAAAAAAAATGTACATTATCTTAGTTTTGAGGTAATGAATATTGTGTATAGGTTTCATAAGGTTTGGTTGGGGCAACTTTAAGTTACAGAATGGAAACTAAAATTTTTCAATCTTTCGATTTATAAAGGGGCATAACTCAATAATGGTTAAAGTGACACTACCCAAATTCAACTTGATCTGTGTTTTATCAGTGGAAGGCAAAATTAAACATTGCATTGTATAAAGCATTGATTGTAGTTGATTCAATAACAATAAATAACAAGCAAGCCCGCAAAAAATAACCAACAATATATTACAAATGAATATACACAAGATTGGGTGGCATCAGCTGCATTTAAAATCTGTTGTTAAAAATTATATGAATGACCAAAGTAAATTTCCACCAACCTCCTTCAATATCAATATTTCATCTGCTTCTTTTAAAAACTGGAGCTGGTGTGTCACTAAAATCACTGGTTTATTCTTTAGTACTCCAAGAACAACTCTAAAAATATGAAAGAACATTACATTTTTAAAAATCATTCTGATAAAAATTTATCGTTCATCTTATGTCCCCAGTTTAATCTTAGTATAGTAGATAAAGATTCAGTATAGTCATTTTTTTTTTTTTTGTTGCATCCTGAATATACATGAAATATTTGCCACTGGAAATTAGGTAAACAGCAATTAATCAATTAATCAAACATTTGTCCAATATCAATCCAGAGATTAAAAGATAAACAAATTTACAAAAATAAATGTTTTATCTTTTCCTCATGTTCAAGTTTAGATCTAAAAAAAATAACAATAACAAAACTACAACAAATATCTACATCAATTCAAAAGCCATAATGACCCAACCTTGACCTTGTGACTCCTGTTACCAATCATTTCACTTTTTACTTACTTTTCAAACAAATGTCTACTAACAGCTGCATCCACAGCACTTAGAGGATCATCTAACAGATAAACATCTGCATCAATGTAAAGGGCTCTAGCTAAACTGACTCTTGCCCTCTGACCTCCACTTAAACTAACCCCTCTGTCTCCAATAAGAGTAGCATCTCCATTTGGCATCAATTCAATATCCTGCAATTACAAGTGGTGATTGAAAACTCATTTCTCTCATGCTGTTTTAAAACTGACAATTTTGTGATTGTTTTTAAAATATATATTTAAAGTTTTTCATCATTCTTTAATTAAGAGTTGTTTTAACAAACAATCAAAACTATTTCAACACTGGATTCTTTTTTTCATTTTTACATACTACTAGTATACTAATTCTCATTGTCTCTCATGGAAAAAGATTTTATCTGATTCAAAAATATGATTTTTTAATGAGGCCAATACAAAGATTTTTTAACCAAAGATAACTATATTTAGCAAGGCCATACATAATGGTTAATATTTTATTTCTTGATTACAAAAAGCTTTTTGGCCTTGTTCCAAGCAAAGAACATCAGAACTCATAACTTGTGTACTTTTACAAACTCACCTTATTTAATGCACAAGCCTTCAGTATCCTGTTATATTTGGACTGTTCATATTTATTGCCAAACACAATGTTTTGTCGTACACTTGCAGAGAAAACCCATGGTTGCTGTGCCACATAAGATATTCTGCCATGTACTTTGACATCACCATTTACTAATGGGATTTCTCCAAGAACACTCATCAATAAGGAAGACTGAAATGTAGAAATTACAGAAAACAAATGGTATGTTAGAAATCAACTGTTAAATGTCAAAATTACATTAAAAATTGTTTCATGGTGTAAATGATTCTAAATTATATGAAAAATTATTTTAAAGCTGAAGATAAAAAAAGCAATTTGACCATTCTAATTTTCATTTAACGTGAATCAGTTTCATTGTATTGTTATTTTTGTGATATTGAGATATGCTGCAGATCAAGACAAGTCTTAGAAAAATCATAAAATAAAACCTAGGTTACAGTGCCTATTTCTCAGAAAAATTCAGAATTTTTGTGATTTTATTGATATTTATTGACGCCTTTGAGAATTTCTACATCTTGTATTTTAAATAACATAATAACAAATTTTTTTTTATTTCAAGGTTATGAAAAACGTGGATGAGTGAAAATTGCATGTCAGCAGTATTGTTTCATTTCAAAACTCGATTGAATTTTACATGCCAACATTTTAAAAATTTGCTGACCTGCATTTCTTTGCCTTGTACATTGGACATTATATATTTTGAGTGGAAAGTGAAAAGTTTGTGAAGGCTTAATGTTGCTGTTAAATGGCTAACAAAAAGAAAACTGGCAACACATAATAATAATTTACCTTCCCTGCTCCAACTGGACCAATCACTGCCAACAGTTTGCCTCGCTGAACATTAGCATTAATGTCTTTTAGTGTTGTTTGATCTGATTCCTAAAAAAACAAAATTCTTCATGTAACTTCTTTTAATGAAAGGTTCTTTTACTTTGAAACTCATAATACAACTATCTTGTCATGTTGGGGCCTTTAATAGCTTACTTTACGATATGAGATTTTCACATCGTTAAAGGCCGTACAGTGACCTATAGAAGCTTAAATCCATGTCCTTTGGTCTCTGATGGATAGTTGTCTCATTTGCAATCTTACCACATCTTCTTATTCCATATATTAGTACATGAAGAGAATATGCCTGCAAATTATAGTCAGTCGTATCTTCCAGCGGTGCATCATCAATGATGGCAAAAATGACTTTCTTTTATTTATCAAATTCACAAATTTCAACAATATCTTCTTCTGTATTCTTATGAAGCAGTGTTCAACAAAGGAGAACTTTTGAAAAAGGAAGAGTTCAGTAAAAGGGTTTAACTTTATATAGGTGATGTACTGTTAAAGGTTGTCCCATTCTGTCCGAATTGTTATTTTGGAGATTAAAACAAGTCATATATTCTTAACTCTGGTCTATTGTTGAAGACCATGCACTGACCTCTAGATGTCTATTTTGGTTATATTGTGTTGTTCAGTTGCTGTCTCATTAACATATACCCATATCATTGTTAATTCCTGAGATGTATGAATACTAATCAGTTTAAATATTATATTTCAGTCAAAATTTAAAAGCCAATAGGTGACATAACAAAAACAACTTTCTGACTGCCATTCCCAAGCCAGGGTCCAGTAATCCAGTGGTTTTCATTGGTAGCTGCCTGCCATATTTGTTTTTTCATTTAGCGTTGTAGTATATATTGATTTAAAATCAGTATATTTCCATTTTAAAAGAAGAGGAAAATATGGGGAATTAAGTTCATGACACAAAATGCCCTACACACTTAGCACAGTCATAGAGAGGCCTAAACACTGAGAAAAACTAACACCTCCCTGAAAGTTGAAGTCAAAGGTCTAATGATATGTAACTTTATATTGCACATTGACAAATATTATTTATAATTAAGTAGATGTAACTTACAGGGTCCCATTTTCCTGTGATGTTATTGATGGAGATGTAACAGTCCCCTGGCTCCACAGAATCAGCTCGTTCTAAATGGCTTTCCTTTTTCAACTCGTCCAACAACAAAAATTTCTGTAAAGATAAAAATGTCCATAGAATTCTGTAAAGGACAACTAAAACATTTTAATTAAATTCAATTGTATTCTTGTCCTATGGTATTTGGTTGTTAACTGTTTTAACTAGAAATTACACGAATAATCTCATTCTTTTAATACAGCAAGAGATCTACTTATCAACATGACGGGTTTCAAAATTCAAGCTATCATGCATTTTGTGCTGTTTAATATTCAAATCAGCTCTGATTAATAACAGATTCATACAGTTACTAAATTATCTGTACATAAAATCAAGGACAAGGCATGTTATGTAGTTAATATACAGAGTAATACACTTTCACTATAGATGTATTTACACTTGTATGCAAATTTAACTGACATTACTTAAAAGTCACACAATCTCCCGCAAAATTTTGCTTTACAATATACAAATATGGCCCGTTGAAAAGGTGAATATCCAAAATTGTCAACCTTAAAAGGTTATTTCCATGAGAGTGCAGCTCAAAGTCTAATTACTTTTTAGGGGTTGACAATTTGGATATTCATCGCTTCTAGGGGTCCACAATTGTTTTATTATAACGGAATATCAGTGGAAGGGCCTTTTCAACCATTGAAGACGCACTTGTCTTACTATAGTAGCAAACTGTCAAAACACTTACGCCAGAAAATTATTTTGTACAACTAAAGTAGACTCTTCTTGTAAATTATTGGTGGTCCTGAAAAGGGCCTTTTATGAGGGATATCTTCTGCACTACATGAATTTTCAAGCCTTGTTTCCACATCACTCGATCGCTGCGATATAGCCTTGTTGTGCTAATGCGGCGTAAAGCAACCAACAATCAATCAATCCACATCACTCGAAGGGCTTCTAACCATGATGTTTACATATGTCTGTGACGTCATTTTAATGGGAGATAACTCTTGTACAAATCAAGAAGCTCAATAGGTTATTCACCAGTGAATATAGGGGTTATTCATCACTAGGTGTAAATGTTTTTGTTATGAAAATTGCGACAGGACATGTTTCTCAAGAATATAAACTTGCATTTTAGATTTCTATAGCATTATTTATATGTAGCATTTCCTGAAATAGCAATAATTAATCTCGCATTTGTGTCCATTGTTAAACAATAGCAGTATTAAATGCACACAATAATTTATGAATTTAAAGAATAAATTCAATCAAGTTAGAATAAGACAAACTTATACAACTATGCTAGAAGTCTTTTTTGGACTTATTTTCTTTACCGGTAAAAAAATCACATGCTTTTTGCTATTTTAAACAGTGCCTTAAAAAAATATAACATTACATATTCTATCTTCCCTCAACTTATAGGGCAGCCTTCATAAACATAGATTTTGAATGGTAAAGATCAGTTGTAAACCTATTTCCATACCCATCAGGTCTAATGTAAAACTGATTTGTGCTACAATCAATCCCATCTTTATTTTTTTTTTTTACTGTACAAGAAATTCAAAACAAGTTATACAAAAGTATTACTCTATAATATATTAAAGTAAATTTTCAATAAGATGCTGACAAGCTTGTATGTGTTCCAAACAATATATTCTCTAATTTTCATGCTATTTTCATGATTTTCACATTTCTCGATTGGTGTGAGAAAAATATTTCTTCTCTCTAGAAAAAACTTTGTTCCCTGCAAATGACTGGTCAAAATTCAATTATGACATCAAATTTTCATGATTTCTTCTGAATTTCCTATTGTGAAGTCATGAAAAAAGGCGACCATGCCTGATGACGTCATGTTTAAAGAACACAACTTTCTGCAAATCTTTGAAAAGGAAGGATAAACTTTGTTTAGATATCGTCTAAAAAAATCATTAGAGAAACAGATTCTACTACTATATAGATCTCTTGTATTACTCCACTCTCAACAGTAACAGTTAAATTTCAAATATTTAAAAAGCTCCACAAGCCTCACGTTTTAAATTTTAAAATTTAACTGCCTAGAGTTGAGAAATATCGTAGCACACTTGATGCAGTGGTGGAAACTTTATTTCCACATCATTTTTGTCCATTTGTGGTCATATACAGAAAACAATAGTTGTGATCAAAAGGGTAGAGCTACATGAGTATCTCGATATCAAATCCATGTTGATGATAGATAAAGTAGGTCACCAGCCTAGTAGTCAGCACTTCTGTGTTGACATGAATTATCATTGATATGGTCATAATTGTAATTCAACTGTTAACAAAACTTTGAATTTTGGGAATACTATTAAAGGCTTTTCTACCTCAGGAATAGATTACCTTAGCTGTATTTGGCAAAACTTTTAGGAATTTTGAGTTCTCAATGCTCTTCAACTTAGTACTTTATTGGCCGTTTTAACTTTTTTTTTTATTCGAGCTTCACTGATGAGTCTTTTGTAAGCGAAATGCCCTTCAGGCATACAAAATTTCAATCCTGGTATCTATGATGAGTTTATTTACTGCTATTCATTCAAAGCTGTAGTATTTAAGACCAAATAAATGATAAAATTGGTACTGGTAAAGGAGTGGTTCTCATCATCTCATATTTGGGACACTAGTATATTTGCCCTCAATATTATTTTTAAGGTTTTCTTACCCTTTAATATTTAGTAACTATTAATAGTAGCAATTTAGTTTGATGGTTATTGAGTTTTCAAGACAGTTCTTAAAAGGGATCATAATTTTGTCATTTTTGGAATGTTTAGTAGCTAATGATGATGCAGTCATATGCTTTTATAAGCAGGAACCCTATAATATAATTTTGAAATCCTACCCCCCAAAGGATGCTTGTGACAAAGCTTAGCACTGTGTAGTCAGGAAAGAACAGTTTGTTTAAAAACCTTTAATCAATTTTATGTTGAACAAGCATTCTGTGAGTATTGCATGGCAATACATAGTCCCCTACCAGTTAAAAATTCATTGTATTGGAACAAAATTCTAACTTACTTGGTCTATAACTTGTCATGGTGTGAACTATATAACAAATATCAAGTCAATATCTTCAAGCATGATAAAAAGTATTGAAAACTGATTATTTAAGTGAATTTTCTAAGTCCAAGGATAATAACTCTGCACAAAACCATCAGACAGGAACAAAATTCAAACTTGATCTGTAACTTGTCATGATAAACCTATATACCAATTATCAAATCAATATCTTCAAGAATGACAAAAAAATAAATGGGGAATGTGTCCATGGGACACAAATGATGCCCCCGCTTGCATATAATGTTATAAAGGGATATAACTCAAGAACTGTAAAAGTGACGCTACCCAAATTTGTACTTGATGTGAGTTTTGTGGTTGAGGCAAACGAAGGTAAGAGAACAGAGGAAACGAAAAATTCAGCAATTTTTCCATTTGTAGAGGGGCATAACTCTAGAACAGCAAAAGTGACGCCACCAAAATTCGAACTTGATCTGTGTTTTGTGGTAATTAGCATTGTGTATAAGTTTCATAACATTTGGTTGAGGCAAACTAAAGTAAGATAATGGAAACGAAAAATTCAGCAATTTTTTCATTTGTAGAGGGGCATAACTCTAGAACGGCAAAAGTGATGCCACCAAAATTCAAACTTGATCTGTGTTTTGTGGTTATTAGCATTGTGTGTAAGTTTCATAACATTTGGTTGAGGTAAACTCAAGTTAAAAGGGGCATAACTCTAGAACGGTAAAAGTGACACCACCAAAATTCAAACTTGATCTGTGTTTTGTGGTAGTAAGCATTGTGTATAAGTATCATAACATTTGGTTGAGGCAAACTTAAGTTAGAGAACAGAAACAAAAAATTTAGCAATTTTTCCATTTGTAAAGGGGCATAACTCTAGAACGGTTAAAGTGATGCCACCAAAATTCAAACTTGATCTGTGTTTTGTGGTAATAAGCATTGTGTATAAGTTTCATAACATTTGGTTGAGGCAAACTAAAGTAAGAGAACGGAAACAAATTTTGGAAAGTACGTACGTATGGACGTACAGACGGACAAGGGTAAAACTTAATGCCCCCGCCTTTCATAATCATAGCAAAACTATTATTATTTTTTTGCAAATTTACTTCCTAAAGACTGTTACTTGTATGAATCAACATAAATAAGAAGCTCCTACCAAACATAAATATGAATTTATTTTTAAAACAAACCTGCAAACGTAGATTAGTTATCCAACCTTCTGCTAAATCATGCCACAAATGAGGAATACATCCCATAATATTTTGCGATACCACAAATAACATAGGAATACAAATATACAAGCGTTCTGCTTCTAGAGAGACACCAGATAACACAGCTGGAACTATGGCACAATAATACATAAAACGAGGACCATACAACCAAACCCCTCTGGTGTACGACCATACTTTTTTGGATTTCCAGACATATCTTCTCTCTAGCCTGGAAACAAGGACATGTATGCTTATCCACTAAAGGAGAAGCTGAATAACATTGTGTGCAAAACTAAACAAAATATACCTACCATAATTCCATCAGTAAGATATTTTCAATTCAATACAGTTTATTCTCCTCTAATTATAGTAGATAGTGTTTTTATGTTCAATTGTTCAATTGTACAATAATTTTATTACAGACATTTTAATCTGTTGAAAGCAAAGTAATGCTTACTTGAAAATAATGTAATAAAAATATCAAATCAAATCCATAGAAATGTCACAACATCATGCATTATCATAGCTAGATGCCATTATTTCATTAGGAAACATCAAAAGAAATACTTTTAAATTATGCATATTCTATTCTAGTGGAAAGTTAGACTTATTAGTAAGCTGAGCTTTACAACATTGTACTACAAAACTGGTAGTGCCTGATAAAAGGATTTTCAGGTAGACACCACAACAGGCTGAGCATCTAAGCAGCTTTACAAAAGTACATGAGCAATGGTTGTACATATTATTAAGCACACTTAAAGCCATCACATGGTTTTCAAAGCCAATAGTCTATTTTCCAATTACAATTACCAATAATACAAGAACAAGCACAAGCACAAGCTCTTATAGGTTCTATGTATAAAAATA